TATTCAGAAAAATAGGTTTATCCAATGTTTTTGCATTCAGTCTATTGTCAGGAAAATGTCAGGAGTAGTTAGTCATTACAACAAGTGTTTGTGAACTAAAAATCAAGAATGTGGGATACTCTTTGTCCATGATTTCAACAGCCCTGTACGTGCAACTGACACAGGGAAAACCAATTATGCAGGGGAGACCTAACTTGACTCAGCACCTTCTTGCTGTGCGGCAACAGTGCTAACCACCGTGCTGCCCCAGTTAAGATATTGATTCGGGTTTTTTTCATAGTGCATGTTTGAAGAATATCTACTCTTTTTCTTAAAATTTTTATTTAGTTGGGCCACATACTAAACTTGTAGGATAAAGTATTAGTCCTATATTGCTAATATCGATTTGTTATCAGTGTTTTGGTTTAAAATTGGGATTGTGTGGGCTAAACTTTTCAAACCATCGGCGTAACTTTGTGCTGAACATTTGGGGGGGGGGCAGGGGGTCAAAATCTGTCTAAATAAATCTGGGTAAATTCCCAGATGCTTAAACATGCAACTATTTTGCTGGTAATAACTGAAATGAGTAAAGAAAATTAACAGCCTATTTATACAAGATAATTCATAATTTTATTGGGGGGATCATAACCTCCCTGGAAATTACGCCCCTGATTCAGACACTTCCCCTAAAGATGTTTGTATTGCAGATCTGTTGGCTCACGTTTACATCGTTTAACACATTTGCTAAACAATGCATCAAAGCAAAGAATTTGGGTTGAGACTTTTTTTTTTATAATCAAATTATTTCAATTACTAGAATTACTGCCCTAAACAAAATACAAACATAGTAATCAAAAAGTCATAATATTAAAGTTTTACTGTATTCCACCTGAAGCAGTACATCTACATTTTTAAATTACTTATATGCTTCAAAAAACCTTTTTAAGGCAAATATTTGTGCAACAGGGCAGTGGTTTGGGGGATGAGAGTTCACACTGTACAAACTGTCACACAGAATGAGAATTTAACTTCTAAATATTTAGTTTTGGTCAATCCTCACCTATTATACTGCACACCTGGAGATGACTACAATGAGGTTAGTGATTCATATAATTTCATTACATTCAAATAATATATTCTTCCAGCTTAAATGTTAAATTCTTTCACGAAAAAACTGCCAGACTGCAATACAGTGTGGATAAGACCAAATAGGACACTCCCATCTCTAACTGACAACAATCTAATAATGGCATGAACAGTGAGGCAAACAGGAAGTCATCTAAGATGAAATGAGTAAATGCTGCCATGCCCATTTGCTTTTGCAATATACTGTGAACCACAATCTGCACTCTAGTTGTTGCCCATCGTGTTTTTCTATACAGAGCTTCCGATGCGTTTACTGTCATAAAAACTGATATCGATAATGTGTATGTAGCTATGAAGACTGCTGCACTGCCAAGGTTGAAAAATCATGTGCACATATGAACAATAAATTTAGATTAAAATACCAAGAAAGGGTCTCTTAAATGTAACACAGACTTCTCAGCAACTCCCCTCCATCCCCCAGGCCTTCCAAAGCTGTTACTGTCATAAAAGCTGATATAAGGAATGTTTACTGTACAGACAGATTATGTAATCTTTTGGTTTAAACTACAGAAGGAGAAAGACTTTTAGGAAGACAGCAAAAGGAGAGAGAGCAAAAAGAAACTTACTTCATTTCTAACAAAAATAATGTGTTTGTTTTATTTTAGCAAGCAGACCCTTTGTACAGCTGTAAAATAAATCACTTGACCTGCTGTCAGGCCAAACAGACTGGCTCAGGCTTAGCTGTCCCACTCTCATCTCCCCATGCACTCCTGACACTGAGCCAGCCCCACTAATATCTGAAGAAGCAGGTGAGTTCTTCTATGAGTCTAACTACAGGAGACCGCTTGGAAAGTTTTTTTTTGTTTTAAGGACAAAAAGTCACTGTGATTTCAACTCACCATTAGTTTTCCATCCTCAACAGGTGCAGACTTCACTTCGAAAATTACTTGAAAAAGCAGAACTTTTTTCTTTTTCTTTTAAAAATGATTTAAAATAAGCCTTTCTGTCCGATTATGATGCTTCACGCTTCTTCTGGCGCAGATTCCTGTTGGAAAATCCTGAGAGAGAAAGAGACTGTGTCTGCCCCAGCGTGCCGGAGGGAGTACTGTACTGAAGTGGTTACGGGAATTTTCTCAAGTAGCTAATAAGGACAGAGATGCTAGAAATTATCATGGTGGGAATTACTGTGGGTATCAAGTAGGTCGATCAGTAAGACATAAATAATTAATGCGTGGTATATCTTTCTATTTTGTTATTTCTCTTGTTGCTTTCATTCCTAACAACATGGGCTTTTTTAGTGCTGTTGTTTGTTATTCTTGTGTTTAATGGATGCAGCGCCCTGTGATCTCTTTTCTAAGTGTATATCAAGAATCCTGTACTGGATTCTTGATGGACATTTGCATTATGTGTAATGTTTTTTGTTGAGTTTGTGTGCATGGAGCTTCTACTGATGAAGCTCCAGATGAAGCTCCATGCTTCATCAGTCAGAAAAAAATAATATTTAAATGATTACATATGATTACATATGCTTGTGGGGATAGGTTAATTGGATAATCCAAATTGTCACCAGGTGTGAATGTGCGAATGAATGTGAGTGCGAATGGTTGTCTGTCCCTGTGTGTTGGCCCTGCGACAGACTGGCGACCTGTCCAGGGTGTACCCCGCCTCTCGCCCTATGACAGCTGGGATAGGCTCCAGTGCCCCCGCGACCCTGAAAAGGATAAGCGGAAGCGAATGGATGGATGGATGGATGGATGATTACATATGCTGGGGAGTGATATTCTAAAGGTTTTAGACACTTTGCACCCAAATGTTCCAGGAAGACTGGAGAAAGGAAGACAAGCAACGTCTATGAAATACTGTTTTGTTTGTTTGTTTGTTTGTTTTTACGAGCCCTGGAAAATGCATAGATTTAAATACAATACTCTCATTTATTTTTCAGGTGTGATTTAATGTTATTTGCAGTCAAGATCTTTCAGAAACTGAACACGCCATATATTTTCCAAGATACGCTTTACAGTATTTATGTATTTATTTATTTTTAAGACTTAACAGACTGGAACTTTTAACTTTATTATATGCATGGATGGGGGGTTGTTGGCTTCCACATTTACCCTCATGATGTCGCTGCAGACAAATAAAGCGTTTATTAAAAGGAAGTAAAAAACAACTAGGCTTCTTGAGACTTTTGACGGGCTACGCTTGTGGATTTTATTACGGGATGGTCGTGCTGGGTTGTTTTTTCACGTGTTCATGCCAAGTTGTAAGTTGAATGCGCTGCCGTTATATTCTGAAAGCCACATTAGTACTAGGGAGCAAATGAGAGAAACGCCCCGTTTTTGCGCTTCAGTGTTGCGATGCAGCGTCATGTACACAGAAAAGTTGGCAGAGTTGTGCAGTGTGTCAATAGACACACATATATGACTGCATGTGGTTCATAGGGAGGGACGGAGGAGGATAAACTACTCTAGGATGGTCCGCAGAAAAATGAACGACCGCACTGCAAAACGGGGTCATGGATCTCTTATCGAGACAGTAACACTCCACAACTAAGGTTAACTTTTTTTTTCTTTTTTTTTTGAACACCGATGGAAGTTGGAAGCTGCTTAGAAAACCAGCTGCATTCATGGTAAGGCGTGATTAGTAATCAGTTTAAATCATAATGCCATTTTCTGTATACAAAGAAAGGAGGAAAACGACTGGATGCGAATGATAATTTGATGACCTCATGTGGGATTCGCCCATATTTCAGTATTTGCCCGATTGCATCACTTGAAAGCAGCAGGTTTGACAAACTGGTACAACGTTTAGTATGCTTGCTCCCACTAAAAATGAATTGTGCTTTTTGTTTGTGTTTGACTAGTCCGGGAGAGTTTGTCAAACCAATGAATTTAGTAATGGATGATCATGGATCCCAGTCTCATCCACGGAGCTCTGATTTGAGGTATGTCGAGCAGTCATTTGGATTGCCAGCTGTAATAACTTTTATCTGTCAGCCAACACAGAAATCATTAGGATCTAACGTGTTCCAGCAGAGGTGTTATGCCCATTAATCATGTTTTATTGTTTTTTTTAACTGAACAATCTCCGTGGTGCTGATCTGCAAAAAAACTAATAATAATAATAAAAATAATGAATAAAGAAAACAGAAGTAGGAAAGACTGAAATTATGACATGGAATTGTGTATCAGTTTTCCCATTGTGGAGAAATATAATATCACAGTGATACCCTTCCACCTAACGCTAGCAAATGGGGTTCTGACAACAACTGGCTGCTCATGGCCAGCTGTTTTTTAACAACCAGTAAATTAATGCATCTGCATAAGAAACTTTCAGCTAACATTCCTATCACTCAGTACATCTTAGCAGAGTCAGTTGTTGTAGATGTTTCAACCTTTGAACTCTCTTCATTTCCTGCTCTCTGAGTTTTACTGAGAAATTGCCTTGACCATATGCAGAGGTCATGGGAACTATTTTGCAGGCAAAACATTCTGCCTCCTCTGTCTTTGTGATGAGCCTGGTGGCATTTTTTGTGGGTTTTTTTTTTTTTTTAATTTTTTTTTTTTTGCGTGTGGGTTTTTTTCCCCCCGTGTGTGTGTGTGTTGGGGTTGAAACTGATATTCTGTAATGTAAACACTGATTTGTTACATTTGAATTGCAGTTAAAAAATGCTGTGCATATATGACAGGATGGAATTTCCCATCAGCTTTTGGTTCATAGCCTTGGAGATGATGTCAGCTGCTTGTATTCCAGTGGTTGGAATCATTAAAAGGGTAGAGTGAGTTTCCAGAGCTTTTTTATAGCCGCTCCTCACTCTTTTGGCATTCAGAGGCGATCTGCCGAGATTTTCAGATTGAAATTAGAGGTGAGATGGAGAATTTGAGCATATGACAGTTTCCAATTCAGTCTTCCACGATAGCTATACAAAGTTTCCAGTCCTGCCCTGCATACTGTGATTTCCTCATTTGTTAAAATAGCATTCCGGCACATTATAGTTCACTGAAAAAAAGCAAAAAAAACACAGCTCTTTCAGTCTGACTTTTATTCATATTTCATAAGTATTGTGTCATCTGAGAGCACAGCCACACTCCCTGGCAACGGGGAGTAGCAGACTACCTAAATCTCTCTGTGGTTTGAGTATTATTTGGAAAAGTAAACCACACTCCTCCATAAGCTGCTGGGGTGTAGATGAAGACATGTGTTCCCTGTCTTATTTCTGGCTTATTAGAATTGGGGTGACTTAACCCACTGCTTCTTGCTTTTTGAAACGCAGTCATACATGAAGATTTATGTGTGACTGCACTGACCTCAAAACCTATGTGTCATTTGTTTTCAAGCAGAGATGTTGCTAGCACATACACATATGTTATTTTGACAATAGGTAGTGTTTCTTTCTTCCTTCAGTTCTTAGTGTCTTCTTTTAGCATTTCAGTAACACAGTTTTGAAAACCATTTCTAACTGTAATCATCACTATTATGTCCAGTAAGAAGGCTTTTTAATTCCTACCTACTCCAGCAGTGGACTGCTTGGAGCTGGCCCCACTAATTGGACACACCTTAAACCATGATCTCACATGGCTGGCTTCCCTCGGGGTAAAATGTGGAATTAGTTAAGGTATTGTGAATCGCCACAGCTGTTTCCCTGACGTGCAGGCAGTCATAGGGCACAGCTGCTCACACGAGTTACAGATGAAAACTATGACAAGACTGACAGATCAAACTGAGACCCTTGAAGAATGCAGGCATGTGGAATTTGAAACACAGTGACCAAAGTAAAGGTACAGAAAACACAGGGCCTCAAATAGGCTAGAGTCTTTCCCCTTTCTTTGTTGAAATTATACCTAGAGACAACAAGTCTGTCGTCTTTTAGAAAAATCTGTAATTTGGCCTACAGCATGGTGCCATCAGAAGTCCCACTCAGATTCTGTGTGCTCAAACGGCAAGGCAAAGGGTGTGATTTAAAGATGTCCACCCACTAGATGCAATGAAGCAAGAGGAAAATGAGAAAACGACAAGCTGTTACGGGTAATGAGTTAGTGTGTGTTTGAATACTGGGTGTTTTATCTCATTGATGCTTTCAGACTGAAGAGGCTAAACCAGACAAAATGGCTATCATCCAGAAAATGGGGAAGAATGGCTCGTCTTTGTTACCAGACTGAATCCAACGCACTGACCGTAAATACCAGCAAAACTTCTTAATAAACAGACAAGAATATTAGTTCAAATTTTTTCTTCTTCTCTTTAAAAAAAAAAAAACCCTAATATTTTTCTAGTTTTAAAACGCTGAGGTTCACACCAACCTGTTTAAGTGAGTTTAGTGCACAGATCTTGCCTGTATGTAGCCCCTCTTTGTTTCTGTTATGCACTTTTCCAGGGCATAACAGTTGGATGCCTCCCACTCTCAGCCTGTGTAACATTCAGGGTGACCTCGCATGAATCAGGCCTTTGTGTGGCCTCAATAGAAACTTTTACATATCTCCAACAACATTCAGACATTTTATGTCACAAAGAACAATTTCCCTTCATTTGCATGACCTTCATTATCAGTGTTTGTGTTGTTTAGATGAGATATAGAAAAAGGCCAGCAAATCACAACAGGCGTGAGTTAAGTTTACTGCAGATCTGTTTAACAAGACATTCTCCCAGTGACAAGCTTAAACTGGCATCAGGACAATAAAAGGCAGGTGTAATATGAAGTTGTACACCATGATATATTTCTCTAGAGGGCACTATCACTGTGCATACAGTATGTTTGTCATGCATATGCGCGTTGAAGCACTACACAGTTCCTATGTTGAATTTTACTAGTTGTCAGACTGCTAATGAATTGATATTCTTGTGAGCCTTATCATCTCCTAACATACAGTGTAGCAACTTAATGAACCGCAGACACAAACAGGCACGTAAGCAGTTTCAGCGAGGGCATTCACACTGAAACTGAGCAGGAAGTTGAAATACTTTGGAGTGTGGATCCAGGCAGTGTGGCTGTTCCAGCTGTGGTGCTTTTTGTGGCATGGTTTTGTAAAAACTGCAGTTAGACATAGTGTATTTACTCCATGCTGTAAAGAGTCTCAGTTCATGTGATCAGCAAAAAATCAAATGCATGCCGTGCTTTTGAAAGATCCCCCCACTGAAAACAACGCTGCATTGTTTCAGAAAAGAGGACACAGTGTGATAGCTAAAATTATGACTCGAGGGGGATGTTTGCTCTCTCGCTAAGTAACTTTATTTAAAGTGTCCCTTTAAAAAACAAAAATAATAAATCTGTGTTTAGTGAAATCTACAGAGACTGAAGTAATAATTACTGGGCCTTATCTTTTCTGTGCAGTTTCCAGAGTGGGGCTATTATGTGTATCTTGAAAAGAATTCCTGGCAGTCCAGTCGACTTCTTTCATGTTCACCTTCCTGACAGATTTATTAAATTGAAATATATTCATTTAAACACAGACAGCCTGAAAAAAAAGCTCTGCGTTCTTTCTTTTATGGTTGGCACACATATTTTTCTTTACATAGCCGTGGCTTTGTTATGGTGCAATGTTTGGTGTGAAAATATTTGAGCTGCTTAGTGATAAAGTGAGGGTAATGTACCATAGCAGGTCCAGTTCACCGCTGGAATTATGTCGAGAAATCGCACTGAATGGACCCAGATGTCATTATCTAACTGACCCGCAAGCTTACTCTGGCTCTGCAGTAGCATTAGGCACAGGGTGAACATGCAAACTGCCTAAGGCAGATTGTGACAAGCAGATATTATACACTACAGCAAAATGCTAATAATGTCACAAGATCGGTCTTTAGATATTTTTAGAAGTTTTTAGAAATTTATGTTAATGACACTGGAGAATTTGAGTTAGATCAGGTGATATAAAAAAGCGCTGTGGCAACAAGTTTTTGTTTTGCTTGCAGTAATAAACGATACACATAGGAGGTGGCGAGTTCTCATAGGGTCCATGTGCTCTTTTTCCTCCTAATTTCTTTCCATCCCACATTGCTTAGGAAGTAATGGCCTTTCCAGACCCTCCTTAAAAAGCTTGTGTTTACAGTGAGTGACCTCTTACCAAATTACCAGCTGCGGCTCTGGCCCTGTTTTGTCTTTCTTCGGGAACTGCCGCCTCTCCAGCTATGCGCCTCTATAACTTGTTTTGCGATAAAAAAATTGTTATACAAGTGATAAAAATATATTTTGAGCAAGGAGGTAAGTGTAGGTGTGGTCTTTTGAATGGGTGAATGCAGTTGTCATGATTTCTCTGTGAAGGGGGAATAGGGGAGATGAAGCGGATGAAGATAAGGGATTCTGTTTAATGTGGGCTGAAAAATGGGGTGGTGCAGGAAGGTGAAGCTCAAAGTCACAAATTGCAGGTAACAGATGGGGGTTGGCTATATTAGGATTGCAGTGCGCAGGAATAAATCAGACCGTCTTTAACAAATTGGCTGAAAATCCAGCATGGGGGAGCTGCCACCCCACTAAGGAGGGATTTTTCCTTCACGGCGAGGACACTGAATGTGGTGGCTAGGTCACCTAGCCGCCATCTGCAGAGGTGGCCCACTGTGTTTGCCTTCTCTAGTAATGAAATATTTTAGTGGCAGTCAACAGACAGCTTGACTGTGGGGGAGCCCCAACATCTATTAGGCTGTCCTTGAGTGACTGGGAGACAAAACATAGAGTAAAGAAGGCAGAAATGAGGGTGGGAAATCTTGAAAATGGGACAAGTTTGTCATAATAGGTTAGGGTTTAAAGAGAATCACTTGTGTGACTGTATATGGGTTATGTAAGTGTAGGAGTATTGATGCATTGATGATGTAATTAGATTGAGATTCTCAGATGCAGCAACTAATCTTTTTGCTAACTCCCTAACTCTGTCCTTCCAGTCTGCTACACACCAACATCTCCATTCATCTCTTATCCTCCTTATCATTCGATGGTATTTGGTGGTGGTGTTTGTAGAGTGGATTGCACATTCTAAAGTGAAAGTGTAGACCTGCTGATAAAGCACTGGCAATAAGCACTCATTTCACAATAGAAAATCAAATGTATTCCGTACCAGACAGTGTACAGTTTCCTAAATAAAGCAAAAAATAAAGAGTTTCAAGTCGGTCACAGTGTTTGGAGCAAATTAACACAGGAAATCTCTATTTATTTTAGAATATTGTTAGTTCTAGTGTTGTATACTTAGTGTGTGTTCAGAGTTTTCTTCTTGAAGTGAGGAAAATTAGGTGAAACTTCAGAACTTAATGCTTCAACGCAATCCAAATCCCGGGCTTCTCGGTTTTTATGAAGAGGAACTACATGCTGTTACAAAGTACATGTTATTTTCATACCTTTGATTATCAAGTAGCACTATCATTATTGTTTTGCGTAACTGTCAACTCGTCTAACATGGTTTGGGAGTGAGTCAGTTCTGCAGAAGTAAGGTGTGGTTTTGAAGAGTTGGCAATGTCTTAATGAAAAGTAAACACAGCAGCACCACCTGAGGAAGTTAGTGAGCAGGAAAATTTCCAGGATGGATTTAAGCCCCAGTGAGAAGATAAAATAAATTAGCATGCAATCCCTTTGACTTCTCTCGTTTGTTTACTGCCATAATTGCATCATTGCCATCATGAGTAGATCATTCATAATTAAAACCCATGACAATTCAGCATATTTACCAAATCCACTGTGAGCACACATGCTGCAGCGTGTGCCAGTAGACTGTCCATTGGCTCCGCCCACAGATTCTGCCCAGGGAGGCAAAGCTGCTTACCTTTCTGCTCATGGCCACTGGGAGAGTGCTAAAACTCTCAGAGGCACAGCAAGAGGGCTGATAGGATTTGGGTACAGGAGGCAGATTTCTGATGTCACAGCTTTGGGCGTGGCTTTAAGGTGGGCCCTTTAAAGCTATACTGTTAGATTTTAGTCTGTCTGACTACTCATGGGAGACACACAGCAGAATGGAAGTTATTTGAGCGGGAACAACTTTAGGTGAAGAGGTAAGAGCCTGGAATGAACTGCTGGCACACTGAGAGGAAAAGCAGGTCTCTCACCTGCTCTTCTAATTTCTGCTTCTCATTGCTCCGTCTGTGTGATTATCTGTACACCGTAACACTGCTGCTACTTAAGTGTTCTTAGGGCGTTGGAGAGGACCCTGAAAGGCTTTTGTGTACTCACTGTTTTTGCATTCATACTATTAGCAGTATGTGTGTTCTGACTTGAAGTTGAGGGTGTGTGGGACTTCCTGCATTGTGGCATGTTTGAGCCTGTACTTTTGACTGCTAGTAAGCTACTGCTGGTTGAGATCTGGGGTGTTTTGGTCATTGGAGCATTGAATTGTTGCTCTTGCTTCTTAAAATAATCAGGGTGTTGTCTGAAAGTGTGACCAAAGGGCTTCTATGAAAAAGAAGAAAAAAAAAAAAAAGAGAAACTGTTTGCTTCCTCGTGCATGAACCCATCATCCCCTAAGGGGCCATCCAGCTACCCAGCAGCTGCTAGTACAGCACAGTAGTCTTTTATTATTATTTTCATTATTATTATCATTATGTTTTTATGTTTGTTTAGATTATTCTTGGTTTAGTTTCTTCAGAGTTAGTCCTATTTGATCCTTCTTCCATTTAACTGACTTTAGTAGAAAACAAATATTCATATGCAATTACATTTTTTTTTTTCCTGGTAAAAGTGTGGCCTAGCATGTATGTTTTGTGGGGAATCTGGCTATCCTTTGGTTTGCTCCTGCTGATGGTCAGATTATGTTTTTCATGTTTGGCTGTTTATTGTAAAGCACAGCTAAGTGTCTATATACACGATCTTACTTATCTGGTGTTTGTCTTTTAAAAAATATTTTCCATACATGACATGCAGAACGATTTGTAGAAGCACTTGCATGACAGATTTAATTAAGATTTTATTCTATGCCTACATCTCTCTTTATTGTTTTCCCAAATCTAATCAAGGAGATATAAATTTGTGCATCTTTCCTGTGATCTAGCACCAGATGTCTTGTGTGAAACATGGCGAAAAGACCTCTAACCGTAACTTTTTATGTCTGTTATTGACATATAAAACCGGAGAACTGGAAACCTTTGAGGGGTTTTGATGACTTTATCATGCTTGAAGACTGTATTGTACTGTAAGTCAGTAAAAAAGGAGTTTTGAGTGATTACCTTTTTGTATTATAATAGAAAGACTGCCAAATGGGAGTGATTTCTTCTAAGATGAGTGCGTGTCCATCCCTTGGGCAGGCACTGAATAGTTTGAAGAGTATGAGTGAGTGAATCATGTGCTATGACTCTCCAAATCCCCAGATAAAAACCTAGTTGAACAATAGGGAGATTTTCAACTTCTTCTTCACCAACACCATCATCACAACACCAAATGACAGAATATCCTGTCAGTGGAGATCAAGAAACTCAGAGTCAAAGCCAAGGAAGAATTAGTTTGTGTTATTAGTGGCAGATGGTGGCCTACACCTCATTAAGATAGTTTGTGTTGTTATTTATTTTAATTTGCCACGTGTCTGTCTTTATCTGTTTTAATGTTGCACACGTTCCAATTGCAAATTTGTTGCCATTATATCGAGAAAGAAGGCAAGGCATCATAGTGAATGTTCCAGTTCACTTGCTTTTGCTGTTAAAGTTTACAAGACTATCTTATGATAAAGTAGAAGACATGGCACAGCAGCAACAGGTTTCTATCATTTCCTGGTAGTCTGTGATCATGTCCATTAGGCTTGTTCTCAGATGCTAAATGGGCTTGTTTTTGAGTGCTGGACCTCCCAGAGAAACCTGTAAATGAAACAGCACAGTCAAGCTTCAACATGTCTCCGTCTCATTCAGCCACTCATCAACACTGGGATGGCACAAACCAACCAGCTTGTGTGTCTTGAGTTTGTCACCTGCCTAATATGTGATGATAAAGATCACTGATGACACAGCTGTATAAACCAAGCTGACTCTGGAACCGATGCAAAGCTGTTGTGTATTTTTCCATAAGGGTTTATTAATTGCTTCTGTTTGGAGCATTCACTCAAATATCACATGATGCATTTTTTCCACTGAACAAAGCATATGAGTAAAACTAGTTATCTTGCTATTGGGTTCATTTACAGGGTATCTAAAAAAGGTTTAGATTATCCTGCAAATGTTTTGCCAAATGAGTAACCCCAACTAATGGAATCAGCACTTTGTACACAGAGCAGAGAACAGCGTGAATGTCTGTCTAGAATTTCTATTGTCATTTGTAGGGATTTCCTGAGTTATACGTGGTGATCCGGGACCATCTTTGTAGCCTGCTTATTATTTTTCATCTAACACTGTTCATTACTGCTCTTCGTCCTGCAAAACCCAAAGTAAAGATGGCAATATTCATGCAAAAGGAGTGTGACAAATGCTTTTGCTCCAGGTGCTGCAGAAGCGACAGCTTGCCTCTACTGCGACGCACGTACCTGTCAGTTTAGAAACATGCAGAGGGACTGGTGTACGTGGCAAATTTGTACAATTATCGGAGATTTACTCACAACAAAATCACAATTCTAATGTGACCAAGCACACAAAGATGGGGAGGATAAGCATGTTTAGAAAAATGGTGTCGACACAAAGCTTTGAAATCAGCAGACTACACCTCTGAACTTTGAACTGTATTGATTTGTCTGGTTAAAATCCAAACAGTCAGTGATTAAAACATTTGAAGACATTGTAGCTTTTAATTGACTCATTATAATATAAGACTGATGCATTGTTTTTTTTCTAATAGGAATTTTGGTCAAAGGTCAAACACTTAATTTAGTAAACCCTTTTTCTTTTCTCAAAGTAGAAGAGGTCTAAAAGTGTAAAAAAGTAAATATGATTTGGTTCTTACTTAAGATTTCTTTCTGTGCTCTGGTCTATGGATTTTAAAAGGCTGCATAGTCACTGGAACAGGTTTTTCCAGATTTTATTTGGTGAACATGATGACATCAATGTAATTCAGTGCAGTTAAATGTGTGTTGTGGAAATACAGGCAAAGTCAGGACAGCAAGAGAACTTAATGTCACAGCATCGCCAAACTCTTTCACTGTGTTGTTAAAAAGGCCCTTCGCCTACTTAGATGTTAACATTTTCAGATGTGTATTGTGAAAGCAAGTTAGACGATGGTATTCAAGTCTGGTTGAAGTGCAGATCACATGTTTATTTCAAGACTCTAAAACAGTGGTGGGCAACTCCAGTCCTCGAGGGCCGGTGTCCTGCAGGTTTTAGATATCACGCTTGGTCAGCACACCTGAATCACATGATTAGTTCATTACCAGTCCTCTGAAGAACTTCAGGAAATGTTGAGGAGGTCATTTAGCCATTTAAATCAGCTGTGTTGGTTCAAGGACACATCTAAAACCTGTAGTACACCAGCCCTCGAGGCCTGGAGTTGCCCACCCCTGCTCTAAAACTATATTTGAGAGGATTTACTGTTATGTTATTCTCTTAAGTACAAGTTTGGCCTTAATGTAAAGTCTATATGTGCACAACTTTCTAATGGACAAAGTTTTAATGAGTCCGATATAGGTACAAACTGTTACAGTAACTGAATCAGCTGAAGATTTAAGAGGCAAAGCGGTGGTGGAGATATCTAACAGGACATAAAATAGCTGTTTAGTGATGATGCACAAGGGAGCTTTTTTTTTTTTTTTTCCCTCATAATACACGCTGTACATTGACAGCAATGCTAAGACTAAATAACGACTTTGATTGGCATTATCTCAAGGTTATATTTTAATAATGTATTTGATGTAAGTTACAAGTTTGAAACTGGTTAGCAATTCCAAGAGGTCAGAAAAGGACTTTGCACACAAACTAATGGATTACATTATGGATGTTGGTTTGAGTGAGGTTTGCAGTTGACCTTCTTGTTTTGTTCACTCAGAATTTATTTGTTCCTTTCAGTTTTAAAGGTAATACATCCTGTCAAGTGTATGCTTTTGGAACTATTAAACAATAATGCTGCAAATGCTGCACAGTATTCACTAGTAAAGCATGCAATGTGTTGTCAGTTTTCAAAAGCACTCACTGTGATGGTAGGGTTTTTGCACATGGGAGAAGTTTGCCTTGAAGGCTTTCATGCCAGGCAGACTCTCTGGGGGGTGATAAACATTGTTTAAAGGGTGTGTTTCAACCCAAATCATGATCTTTTCCTAAACTTAACACAACTGCAGCTGAAAACCAAGAATAATATAAAAGAAAAGGAATCTTCCTGCCTGGAAGGCTTGAAGGCAAGCAAATCCTATCAGCCATGTTGTCAGTAACCATCACTTTCTGATTTCTTTTTACAGTGCATTGTGGCAATTTTGATAACTGGAGAATTTGAGCAACACTACATAGCAGGCATACGCTGGATTCTGTAAACTTTGAATATTTTCAGTCATCAGTCCTGGAGGTCTTGGTATCTACTATATTAAAAATTAGTTTTCTTAGCCCCTGGCTGCAGATGCATTTTTCCAGCTTCCCAGTCTTAGAACAGTAGGCTCATAATCATAGTCATATAGCATATGTTTGCAGCGCTGTTTACTAGCATGTTTCATTTTCAATGTATTCTTTTTAAAATTTCATTCTAAAGATTCTGCACTTCATAATATACAACTTAGTATAAGTAAAGTCCTATATGTTACTTTATGATTTATAGTGTCTGAAGAGTATCATTACTCTTGTATTCTTTTTTTTTTTTTTTTTTTTAATAAATGTGTGTGTTTGTGGTGTATATAAATGTCATAGTGTTTAAGGACATCCACCCCCAGAGCGATACTAATAGTCCTTTGGTAGACTCGGCTGAGTGGAGCAAGTGACCTTGCATTGCTTGGATTCCTTTGTTTGAATAAGACGTGCCCCCACGTAAGACTTTGCAGGCTGTAATTCACAGCGCTTGGTCTGCAGAACTTTGTGTTAATCTACGCTTACGCCAACTGAATAAAAAAAAATGACACCTGGAAGTTTCTAAAGTTAGCGAATCTTGACTGACTCACTGATTAGATGTGCCGTTTATTCGACTTTCTTATGACAGCATCCGCTGTTTTTCTCTTCAGACAAAAGGAAATGCAAAACAAAATGTGTAACAGTTAATCTTTAAACCTTATAATGACAAATCAAAACATTTTAATTTATAGTCAAAAGCTTTGTGGAAACGGTGTCATTATTTGAAATTCTACTTGTCACAGATGTTTTAAATATGTCTAACAGATGGCCAGCTGACAGAAAGTCTTTGAATAAAAGGTGTGTGTGGGTGTGCGCGTGTGTGTGTGTGTGGCAGCCAGATCAGCCTGTAAAGCTCAGATAACTGCTACTGCTCTCTACCACACTTTATTTACATAGTTTTCAGGAATGTTGAGCCTTGACAAACACTCAAATTGTGTTTGTCATATTTGCACACATTGGAGAGAAATTTTCTAACTGTACCAAGTGCTGTACACTAATGCACAGTCCCGTACACACGGCAGCACTTCACTATAAAACTACATTTTCCCTTGCACGGTTTTTGTGACTGAAATTGAGCTCTGTAGCTTGGATCTTTTTATCAGTCTCTCACATGTCTGTCCATTCAGAGCCATTTCTTCAGGCTCAATGAGTAAATCTGTCCACTTGGTTGTCTTGTGACTTGTTTGCAAAGTGAACTTGATCTCTTTCATGTATTACCCTCATTGCTTAGTGAAAACCTGAGGAAGAAAGGATTTCTTTCATTCTGTCTAGTGCATTTTGATTTTCAATCAGAATATTGTCTGAAGTCCCAGAAACCATTTAATGACATTTCTTATAATGCACACACAAGTAGGGAAAGCAACCCCAGTAAACTCTAAAATGTTCATTTGTCTGGCTTTGTCAGAGCAGAAGCCAGACTTTTTATGAATAATGAAGCCATCCTGAAAATAATTTACTGTTTCTTGTCCAACTTCAGGGTGTCGACCAAAAGCAAAGCACCATCCCCGCCTGGATTAAAGAGGCTGGAGTCCCCAGGTTTCTCCCAGCGGTACCCAGGAAACCCTTATTTAAAGATGGACCAGAAGGAGAACCTTATTGATAAAGAACTCTCTCTGACCGTGGTTCTGCCTGGTGGAGTGGAAACAACGGCCATAGTTCATGGAAGGTACAGATCACTTTATCTATATCTGTATATACTTAGTGTGCGTGTAAAGGATGATTTTTGTTATTTGCTTCCACGTGGTGTGTGTTAATACTCAAAACATTAAGCACTAAATCATGACACTGATGTAAACTAAGTCAGTGCATGAAGTCCATGAGTCAAACAGGTGGGATAGCTGCAGGTTGTGGTTTTAGACGGCATGTTTGTGTCTCTTTATTTTTATTCAGACATCAGTCTGGATTAACTCAATGTACTGGAGTGCTGTTTTTTTGCATACTGCGTGGTTTACTAATGCCTGTAGGCAATTATGTGAGAAATTCGTAAAAAAGATTCAATTAAAATTGCAAAATGATGTGCCGTATGCGTGCTGAGCTAATAAAATGAGATGAGATTTTGTGCAGATACATGGAACAAGATGACATCATCTAATTAGAAACAAACGGCAGCATTGCAAGCTGTAACTTGCAAATTTCTAGAACCCAATAAAAAACTGACTCAATAGGTATTGCCTTGAGATCCAAACCCATGAAGTCAAATGAGTGCAAATGCCTACCAAATAGAAATCAAAGGAATACATATTACAGAGAGTGAAATGCACTCTCTGGTGAGGCTGTAGCTCAGGAAGTATGTGAGGTTTTCTAAACTGAAGGATGGTGGTTTGATCCCAGGCACCTTCAGTTTATAAAGTGTCCTTGTGCAAGAGACTGACCCTTAAATAGCTGTGTGTGTGTGTGTGTGTGTGTGTGTGATGGTTAAATGTGACATAAAATATTACACTGTACAATGTGGTTTTTTTTGTATGTTTTGAATCGGTTAATAGAAGTACTACATTACAAAAGTACTCAGTCAGAGTAAAAAAGCAATATACAAATCCACTTACCAAAAAAAGGCTATTTTGTAAAATTATTAAATGATGATATTTTTAAGGTTTTTACATCCTTCAGTGAGTGTTAACCCTTTCCTAAAAATTGGAAATTCAAATCGTCATTGACTATTTTAAAAAGTGAGCTCTGTGACTGAAAGTTTGGTTGCGAGAAAGAAACACAATCTTCATGTAAATATAAAGGATCCGGTTTTGTCCAGTTAAATTAAGATGCAGTGTTTCCTCATTAATTTTTTGCTTTAATGTAATATTTTTTCCCTCAAAAGCGTAGTTTTGTGGTCCTGGATGAGTTGGTATTGAATAGCACCATGCAGCATTTAAATACACCTAAATTCAGACTCTTAAGTCTGACTTGCATGATTGTAATCACATGTGTGTCAAACTTTTAGTCAAGCGTTTACTTAAGCTATCACTATCTTTCTCACAATGCACACAGTTTATAAATATTCTTTCAGAGATATCTTTTGCACTTCGCACTGTGTGTTGAGAAATGACCGAAACTAATCCAGTGTGATCAGATTAAATTGACCTTTTTTTCCTGTGTCTAAGCCTCTTTAGAGTTGCTACACAACAGAGGTTATTTTCAAGGTACATTGTGACAATATTGACAGTGTCAGTAAAGCTACAATGTTGCATGGCTGTTGCTGACTTAAATCCCTGTATTTCTCCATTGCACTGTTTCTTGCAGCTTTTTAATCAGTTCTGTCACTGCGTGACATAAGTTTTGTTGTTTGTTTGTTTATTTTTTTACATGGATGATTTGAATCTGCCGTGGTAAACAGATTATTAGATGATCATCTTCAAATTTTAGTAACCTTTTCAATAAGGGATTTAAATGTTTTTTTCTGATATTTTTTTTAAAGCAATTTAAAGGACTTACAGTGGGAAAAAAATTGATTTAAAAATAGTTTTCATTACTTTTTTTTTGAGACTTTATGTCACATTTTTTCAAATGAACTTTCATTTGCTTCTTTATGATATGTCTCCTTTTCCTTATGTTGAACTAATCATACATATTTATTTCTGTGTATCTTTCAGCGAACCCCTAATGGATCTTCTGGTGACACTCTGTGCAAAGTATCGCTTGAACCCCTCAAGTCACACTTTAGAGCTGATTACTTCCAACAAGAACAACATCAAGCTCAAACCCAGTGCTCTCATAGGAACTTTAGATGCAGAGAAGATCATACTTAAACCTAAAGGGGAGGATAAAAATAAGAAGACAGGTCCTCAGATGCCCGAGGTACATGAATACATTGAACGTTGTAGTCTCACACACAGTAAACACCACAACAGATTATCAACCTGTCTCCTTCTGTGTTCTCCAGGCAACTGTTCGGATGGTGATAAACTACAAAAAGACCCAGAAAACTATATTGCGAGTAAATCCTCGAGTCCCCCTTGCTGAACTATTACCAGCAATCTGTGAGAAATGCGAATTTGACGTAGAGACAACAATCCTGTTGAAAGATGTCCAATCAAGGACCCCTTTAAACTTGTCCAATTCTCTTAATGATTATGCAATACGGGAGGTTTATGCAAGAGACACACAAGGTGAGCGCTACTATAGTAAAAGGCCAAACTCACTGGTTTTGCATATTGGCTATCCCATGTGTTTCTTACTCTACCTCTCCAGTTTGCTTGTTGTGTGTCATTGTTGTGTGTTTCACGTTCTGCACTAAACCTCAAGGTTTGTTACTCGACAGCACAACCTGCTACGCCTGTGTGTCCAGACTCACCGACTTATGCAGGTATTTCAGTTTCACCACACGATCGCCACCAACAAAGTCATCACATGTCTCTCTGTTTTTACAACAGCATGTTTTTTGGGGGTTGTTCTTTGTTTCTCAGGAACAGTCACACCGGGCAAAGATAAAACTCAAAAAGAAAAGGAAAATAAAGGCCTCTTTGGCGTGTTCAGAAAAAGCAAGAAAAAATCTGACCAGGTAAATGTGACTTAGAAAAAGTATCTTAATTTTACTAATTGGGATGTTGCTGTATCACAAAGTACATTGAAATCTTTAGAGGGAGGTTTGTTTACTTTGGTTTTCTATTAGTTAATGTTCACTGTGTTGTTTGGAAACAGGTTTCTTATCATGTTCTGATTGGATGTTTGTTCTTTAAAGCCAACGACAGCCAGTGCCCCAGCTTCTCCTGTTCTCGTGAGCAAGCCTCGACCACTCAGTATGGCTTTGCCCAGCTCCAACTCGTCTCCGCTCGGCTCTCCGACAATCTCGACTGATGCGCCAAAGAAGAGGCGTGCACCCCAGCCTCCGATCCTCGTATCTCAGAGCTGCACCTCTGACCCTAGGACTCGCCAGAGGCTCTACTCTGAACCGAATGTTCGACTGCACGGCGATCAGGTGAGGCCACTGTTAACATGGTGTGTCTGATATCTGAACAAACCTCTGACAAAATTCGAAATTGACAAGATAAAAGGCGACGTCTTTTATTTTTGAGCGCTGATTAAAATAAAAATGTTTTTTATGTAGGTGTGTGGCCTGAGTCGTGGGTCGTCAGCAGAGTCTTCACTGAAGAGAACCAAACGCAAGGCGCCGCCTCCTCCTGCATCTCCAAGTGCAGTTGCTCAAGAACCTGTTCTTCCAGATGAAAATGTGCAAGGTTTGGTCTTTTATTTACATTACATTGAGTGATAATGAAAAATAAATAAAAGTGACTTTGTAGTGTAGATTTGGATTAAATGTGTGACATTTTGGCATGTGTGCGAGGGGCTCAACAGTGAATTTTGCTAAAGCTTGTTTTTTGTTCATTTGGTTTGTGTGCCTCCTAGTGGTGTTAATTGCAAAGTGCTTCATTTCACAGCCCGAGAACCTCTGTATGCACTGCTCAGAGCATGCACAATTACACACTAAAAGTGGCTCTTTTGGCATGTCTTATTTTTCATTTGTGAACAAGAGTTTGTGCCAGTATGGTGTTGCTTGCACAATCTCTGCCCTTCTACTGTGGTTTAGTGTTTTTGCTCTTGAGCTTATTCTCCCTGTTTTCCTGACTATATTTAATATTTTGTCCTCAAACACCTGTAAATTCCTTTTTGAAAATATCAAAGCATGTATATTTTGAAAATACACAAGGAAGCTTTTTTCTTATTTTCCAAATCTCTGCAGGTTTTGAATTCTTTAACATTTTTTCTCTTGGTTGAGAAATACTTTCCTGCGATTGTGTAGACACAGTGAACCTTTGCTGTATTTGTCCTGTGAGGGGAAACTCCGCCCGTCCTGTATATAGATCAATTTAAAGCAAAACCTAAAAATATTGTTATTTGACGTTGAGGGAAAAAAAGGCTGGCTTATATTCTTCAGTTAAAGACAGAACGAAGATCACAGCTTGTTTTCTAGCTTCCATATTTTGGTGATATCTAGTGGTGTGCTTTTATTAAAGTAAGTTTTCTATCTGTCAAATATATTGGGATGCTCAGACCACTAAAACTGCATGGTAGAAACCGTGTTCAGACAGACCATCTTTTCACCGCATTGCTTTATTTCAATGAACTCATTTTAGTTAATTAATAGGAAATCCTGAAATCTGTTTACAGGGTTTGTGTGAATAAGCACAAGGTTTTTCAAATGTTTTAAGCACCATGAACTATAGTCAGTTCTGAAAAAAAACCACAAGATAAAAAACAAAACTAGTGTCCTCTATGTCTTAATAGATTGCGGGGTTTTTTTTTTTTATGTCTATCCTTTTTAAGTTGCTGTCTTTGTGATTCTTTTTGTTTTCTTTACTTTTACTTTGACGGTAAAAAGTCTCAGAACTCCTTTTTTTTTATTATTATCCAAAATCCCTTCACTTGTCACTTATCCCCCAGTCATAATTCACAGCTACAGGATGCACAGTCACTGCTTTCTCCTTCTTAACATTTTATCATTTCATCCACTGGTTGCTCTTGATCTTTCCCAGCGCTAACTTCACAGAGAGAGGTCGTCTGCTCCGTAGCTTAGTGTGGCTCAGTGGCTGCTGAGATCAGAGGCTGAGAACAGTAAGCTTTGTTTAAATGGCCTTGAAATTCCTTTTGCTCAGCGCCCCTGTGCGAGTGCTTCCCGTAGCGCTAAATTAAGAACTGGAGAAGGGAGAATGAAGTGTAAAGGATCGTTCAGTGGAGTTTATTTATCAGAACCATTTAAATTAGAAACTTGGCACCTTCCTTGTGGCAGATTTAGTTTATAATAGCATTAGTTGTATTAAAAATTGTGTGTAATTTACAGCCAACACATCCCTTTGGCCAAATATTGTTTTATAAATATATGATGTTGGATACGCTACTAGAGTCCTTTCTGTATTAGAATAGGCCTTTGACTGACCTTGCTTTTTATTTTATCATGCTTTCCAGCAGGTGATGCTGCTCACAGACTGGAAGAAATAAGGGAGCAAGAGGAGATGACTGCATCTGTAATGTCTGCAACTGCTAGTAAAATGCAAGGAGTAGACGACAGCCTCAACACGTCATCTGATGTTTCGCCACATTCCCCGTCCCCAGATGTTGAGATACAGAGCATGATGTCAGTGGAAGATCAGTCCCCTGATCTGTCTTCAGATGGCAAGTACGAAATGAACTCTAGTAATGAAACTCAAGTCTGACATGTTTGCATTAGCAATACCTTTAATTCTTTGTTTTATTTTCCCAGTCAACAGCAGAGCACAGTGAATGATTCTGTAACTCAGACTGTGAGGAAAACTGATGGCGCAGACTCATCTGAACTGGCAGATACTAGTGGGTTTGCACTGCAATATTGTTTACTACTTTTTTTTTTCTAGATTTTGCCTTAATTAAGCAAGTCTGCTCTTAAAGAAGGTCAAAATGCCTGTTTCACATGAAAAATTCTCCCTTTTCTACAGATTGTGTCCCACTTCAAGTTGAAAATTCCATCTGTCAGGAGTCTGCAACTCACAGTGTTGAAACCGAATGCAATACTACAACTAGCAGCCTCCCACCGCCTGTAATGCTGAATGCGGAGACACAGGCCTCTGTTCAAGCAAACGCTGAAAGCCTCAGGGAGAATTCGGTGGCCACCAGCACATCATGCTCCACTGGAGAAGATGCTCAAGTGCAATCAAATTTCACACAGCTCCCCGTGCCCCCGCCAAACAACGCGGACGAAGATTCCTCACCAGCAATTGCCCCCGTCTGTGAATCACCCGGGAAAAAAGATATGGCCACTTTGACGGAGGATCTGGGACCTCCTGAGCTTGAGCAAGCATTACCCCCCACCTCGGAGACCTCGTTATGCCAAGATTCAACACCAAGTGCCCCCGTCACAGCAAAAGTGCCACCTATGTATGCCACAGACTCTGAGCCAAAGCCTAAGCCTTCCAACGAACTTACAAGGGACTACATCCCCAAGGTGGGGATGACAACGTATACTATTGTGCCTCCGAAATCTCAGGAGAAACTGAGATATTTTGAAGTTGCATTGACACTGGAGACGCCTACTGAAGCCTCACAACAGGTACTCAATACTGATTCTGCTCATTCAGATGAGAGCACAAGACAGATGGAACAGGAAGTCTCAAAGGAAAAAAGTGAGCTGCATTCTACTTTACACAGGGAAGATGGACTGCCTAACACTGCTACTAATCAACACACTGTTAACGGAGGTATACCTGAATCTACTCAGTTGTCATCACCGACAAGTTTATGTAACACAGACAAGGTGTCATCCTCAGTTGGGGCATCTCCAGCTGGGTCCCCAGCAGAGGTCAAGGAAATGAAAATTCCACCTGCAACGAAACCTAAGCCTGCCTCTTTCCGCTTGTCACAGCACAAAAAAACACCTGGGTATTATGTAACTTCAGCAGCAGAGAAGAGTCTTGGCGCCAACTCTAGCTCTGGCCTGAGGGAAGTTCAAGGAAGTGCAGAAAGAGCAAACTTACCACCCCCTCCTCTTCCTCCTCCTGCGCAGTGTGACGAGGAGACAACAGGGGCCGCTAATATTCAGCTGAGCCATAAACAGGTCAACAGGAATGTGCCCCTCATGAGAATGACAAGGCAAAGTAGTCTGCCAGCTAGAGAGCCAAGCACTGGGCTAAGCTTGGAAAAATTTCGAAGCTTTGCAGCACCCAGGCCTTATTCTCCTGCCACCCCGTCCCGCTTTGCTCAGGCAGTGTCCTCGGCTGTGAAAAGGAGTCATTCTGTTACCTATCGGCCAAAGCCACCTCTCTCACCTGTGTTAACACCTGTCTCTCCAACTCCAAGTCTCTCATCTGTCACAGAGTCAAAGCAGTTATCTAAACTCAAGGTTAGTGTTCATAGTGCTTCACACTGACATTAAAATATGTAAGTAAAAAGTTAAAGTAAAATAAGTTTATCATCTACTTATGTGACTGCAGTTATTATTTGTAGCTTGTTTATACTACATATAGCCTCCTTTATGATGGTTAACACATCCACTTGGTTTTCCCTTAAGAGGTTTACAGATGTAGACAAGAGTGTCAAGACATTCGTCTTATAACAATATTGTTTTCCAAATGCTGTTGGGCTTTTTGGTTTGGTATTGTGCAAGGCTGTTACGCTTTGGCCCGTGGGGAGTCTCAGAAATATTATAACCTCTGATGAATAATGGAATACTGTTATATAGTTCATGTGACCCATTTTTAAAACTCAATTTTGGTTTTAATATAGATTACCTGCTATATTCCCAAAGCCTTTAAAGGCAAAGCATAGGGATTTGCGTGTTTTTACCTGACTGAATGTTTATCTTGTCCTGTTGAAATTAAAGATCAGTAAGGTTGTGGTGTAGCATTTTGTATGTTAATAGTTAATTTCAGGAAATGATAAGAGAAGCTGTGAGCGAGACGAGGATGAGTGAGTGGCGCAATCCACTGGCAATGAATAACTAAACAATTCAAGCCACTTTACGGTTTCTTAATTATTTGTGCGGGATGTTGTGGACATGATGAGACTGCATGTTTCATAACCGCATGCTGTCTGAGTTTTGATCAGTGTGATTTGTAACTGTGGCCTAAGACAACAATTTTCTAATAACTGAGCAACAAATATAGAATTTGGTTTGTTTGTCACTCCCAGTACATTAAAAGCACACATAATCAGTTAATACTAACCAGTATGTAACTAACAAATTTATTTTTCTGCCTTTCATAAAAATAGGAAAACATCCTAGAAATCTGTCAAAAACTTTCAAGTTTAGTTTAAAATTGAAAAAAATGATTTATTAGGCAAATAACAAAGTAAATAAATAAATTTAATACATTTGTTTTTTTGCATGCCACATGATAGAAATGTTTGGATATATTGCTGTTAATTCACAAATCAGATTATGCATCCTGAACAGAGTTAAGTTGTGAATTCCTTTTTAATCTTTAACTTTTCTCAATAGGCAGTAAATAAAAAGGACTATTGTGCTACATAGATGAAAAATCAAGGTTAATTCTAATTAACTCAGTGAAACATGTAACAATTTCAAACCCTCAGGAAATAGTCCACATTTTAATGGTGCAGTGTTGTGTGCTTTCTTTCTTCAACGATGTATATAGCTATACTTAAAAGACATAATGGCTGGTATGACTTTTTTTGTATTATACTGTGTAGGGATGATCCTTTTCCCCTCTCTACAACAAATCCCACTTGTAGCCCACATCTTAAGGAAATACCTTAAAAGATATTGCAGTCTTTTACCTCTTTTATATTGTCTGAAATAGCAGTGAAATCCAGTGATTGCAGTTTGTTTCTTTTCTGTGCATTACAGGACTGTGAACATAGCGAGGTGGATAGCAATGGCTCTACCTTACAGAGCGAAGGGGGTGAACCGCCATCTAATAGTGACAATGTTCAAACCGGAGAGTCCGGTCCATAGCAGTGCCTTAATTCTTCTGACTGCATATCATTTACAGTAAGCAGAAACCAACACTTGACAATAGAAGTTCTTGAATGTTTCCACAACACTTGAATGAAACATATTTTTCTCTTTCAGGAGAAACTTGTCCTGCCTGCTTTGGCTTCTCTGGAGCCCTTTATCCCAGGACAAAGAAGAAGAAAGCCGCCCCCCTTTTTTTTTTTTTTTTTTCTTTAGTAGTTTCCAACAGCATACATAAAATCATATATTTTGTTAATTAACAATTGCTAAATTTTGGTTTATTTTCTCACATCATTAAGCGATATAACCCCGGCTGCACATTTTAATGATTCTATTTTTATTTTGTTTTCACTCGAGTGCTCAGAGATGATAAATAAGAACAATTCGATAAATTATTAGTGATTTCCTGAGTTGTAATATTATTGGGTGTATTAAGAAAATGTATTATCTAAATAATACTGGATGTTTAGACCAGGACTGACCTGTCTATATTTAAGTATTACAGAGTTTTGTTTAATCTATATGCAGAAAGACACTGATGTGTACAGTACACTTATTGTCATTGGCAAGCAGTGTTATGAATAAAGCTTTTATCAAGCCGGTTGCTTTTATTATTATAATCATTGCTTTGATTTCTGCACACATGATGCAGAGCGAAATTGGATCCGACTGAAAACAGTCACTCGCTCACAACAGGTAAAACCGGATCCCACTTCATGACTTAAAGCAGCTTGTACTTTACCTGTAGCTTCTCTTACATGTGAGTCCAGTGAGTTTCATTCCTTGCTGGGATACTGGGACCTGCTTGAGTGCTTGCATTATCAGCCCCATTTAAGGAGGTATAAAGGTAACCCTTCTAAACTTATGTCTCTTCATACTAGTGTACAGGGCGCAGGAAAAGCAGACAGAATCACCCTGCTCCATAAGTTTGAAGTGTTGCTTTGTGGACAAAGCAATTATACTTATTTACTAAAAAGAAGAAGATCTTCAGAATTAACAAATACGATTTCTTTAGAAATTAAACCTTGGACTATGTGGCTAATGATTTTCTCCAGCGCTATCAGAGCAAATATTTAAGAAAAAAGCATTTTACTACTAGAATCCATGTGAACATATGCCTAACGGCCACTTTGTTAGGTACACCTGTTCAGCGTAATACAAATATCTCAATGACTTCCAAAGTGTGGGCTGGGGCCCCCTGGTGGGCAGCGGTAATAGCAGAAACTCCGTTTGAAATTACTCCTAATTATGTACAGTTAAGTGTTTATTGAAACATGTTTATTAATATAAAAAGCAAATTAAAACTTGTAATAGGGGTGGATTTTTTTTTTGTGGTATTGCTCACCACTTTGAGCTAAATTCACTGCTATTGTATTGATTTTTTTGTGTCCCAGTGGTAGGTGGGTCACATGTTGGTTTTAACTCTTTACATATGACTTGGTAGCATTAGCAATTTATAGCTAACGGACTGTGTCATTTGTTTTTTAATTATATTTTTAAGTAAAAAATATTTTAATCATAGTAAAAATTAAAATTAGGATTTTCTGTTTTTTAATAGGCTGCAGCACTCTCAAATGTAGGAGTGGCTGAAGAATCAGCCTATCACATGGCAACAGCTTCCAAGATTTGGGTGTGTAGACATGGTTAAGATGACCTGGTGCAGTTCAAACTGAGCAAACTTCAAACTGGGGTTGCTGCTACTAGGCGTTTAGTGATAGCTAGAAGAAGAAAAAATATCCAGTGAGCAGCATTTTCTGGGAGAAAACACCCTGTTGATACGAGATGACTGAGTTACTGTTGCCAGGCTGCATTGAGCTGATAGGAAAGCAACAGTAACTCAAAGAGCCACTGGCTGCAACCACAGTATGCAGAAGAGAATCTCTGAATGTGCACAACACATGAACTGTGAAGCCGATAGGCTACAGCACCTGGACAAGACCACAAATTCAGTTGGTGCCACTCCTTTCAGCTAAAGGGAATGGCACCAACTTTAATTCACACAAGCTCACCAACAGAAGAAGAATCTGTTGGGCATCACTTTATGACCAAAGTGAGGCCGGGGTGGGTTCATATAAAGTTCATTTATGTTATATGTTTTCATAAAGTTGCCACTTGTAATAAATTGGTATACAAACATTCAGATAAGTGCAGTCGATTAATGGGTATCTACAGGACACCATGGTGATAGCCTACTGGCATAATATAAAAAACAAGCATGTATAGTGGGTTATTGTAACGGATGCTGAGGTAGATCGTAAGATTGGAGCCAGACAGGTAAAACAATCAGTCTAGTAAAAACTTTCCCCATGGTCCCTTATCATTTTGAGGTGGAGCATTATACTATATTCTACATTTTCTGTATTTCTTCCTTTAAAAAAACAAAACTAGGTTCTGACATTATTAAGTAAGCCTTGGGTGGTGAGTTATTGCTTTCCCCATGCTGCCTGTTAGTAAGTTCCTTCAGTAGCCTGTCCTCCCTTGGTCAAACTCTGTTACACATTACCTTTGAGAATGATGTTATCATCCCCACCATCCCCCACACAGAGCCAGTCTCTGAATGACACTTCCAACCACACAGCCATTCTGTTGGGCTGGCTACTCTTTACAACCACAGGCATTCTGCAGTATACTATGTTATGCAATCTTTGTGCAAAGTCCATAACAAAAGAGCAGTTCATTTTATAGTAGTCATAACTAGAGATGGACCGATCCGATATCACGTATCGGTATCGGTCCGATACTGACCTAAATTACTGGATCAGATATCGGAGAAAAATAAAAAATGTAATCCGATCCATTAAATATCACGAAAGCACCTCACAAAACTTGCGACATGGCGTAACTCAGCACGTTGGAGCAGTATGCGTCGCGTGATAGAGTGGCCGTGGCGTGCGAGACTTGTCTGAACTTATACAAAATGCAGCAAGATATTAAAAAAACAGTTTTATTGATTAAAAACACACTATATCGGAGTCATATCAGTATCGGCAGATATCCAAATATATGATATCGGTATCGGACATAAAAAAGTGGTATCGTGCCATCTCTAGTCATAACCCACCTGTACTCAATACCAACCTCTTTTTGTGAGAGTCTGCTTTGTGTGGTAATTTATTGCTTTCCAGTGTGCATATAAACATTATCAAAGGCAAGCAATAAAAAGAAAAAAACAAAAAACAGGTGGCAGAGCAAATTTTAATGATTGATAATACTTGACTGCATCAGAGCGAGGATGATTGTTTCGGGAGTCATTGTGTTAAAAATATCTTTATGTGGTGGATCATGTTTGGGTAGGAGGGATCGTTTTGCCCCACTGGGCCAGCCCTGTGGGCAGCAGATGAGACTTGTGTGTATGTATGTGTGTGCTCTGCTGAGCTGTGAGCAGATGAGCCCCGCCAGGCAGCTTGCTCCAACTGTGGTCTGCACATACTCCAGTCTAAAAGCTTGTCTCTTCTATTTGCTCCAGATGATGCCTTGGATTTAGCTGGCCCACATGAGTGATATGAATAAGGCACTGGACGAGATACACACTTCTCAAAGCCTCGGACAGAAAGCAGAGATTTTTCAGAGTGACAAGGGTAATGTGAGTGGCTTTCCCAGCGCAGAACTCTTCCCGTTGCAAGAGCCTTTAATAACACCAAATAAACAGAAGATCAGCATTAAACTCTGCAGGGGGAACAGGTAGGTCTCATTTTCCTTTATGCTTGACAAGAAGTTTGTTTATAAAATTTAATCAGGTTGGTTTAATTTGCACTAAACCACAAGAAGTGTATTCTACTCTACACTTTACAGTGTAAGCTGCCTTGCACAAGAATAGCACAGTCTTATTTGCAGAAGAGGTAGATCTCTGTTTAAAAGCTGCAATGTGTAGTGCAGTGCAACATTTAATATTAACTTTAAGAGAGATAAGATGATAACATAATAATTGTTAACTATTTTGTACTAAAGAAATGTATGTTAAAATACACCTCATACCATGCAAGCATACTGAAATCTAATTTATTCTTACTTTATCATAGCATTTAGTCATTAAAAAAGAACTCTTTGTATGCATGTCTTGTCACATCCTTTAATCTGAACTACTTCAAACAGGTAGGGTGGAGTTATATGTCCTAAGGGTGGTCTCTTTATGGGGGTTTCTTCCTCTTGTGGGGGATATTTCACTCCTTTATGACCTCAAAATGATGTCAACAGTACACATAAGGCTTAGAAATAAACCTTTGAATGTGAGTTTTGGTGATGTGGTGAAAGCAGGCACCCGGTAGTTAAAAATTTGAATTACGTTTGTTAGAGGAGAATGGAGCCATGCGTTTTGTTTTGGTCAGATCTCCCTATGCCTTCACCCAAGAAATGACTCATTACAATGTTGAAGCATCTGTTATATGACAGATAACATGTGCTTCATACAACTCTTCTGTGAAGCTGTTTTATATTATGGCTGAGTCATCAAAATATGCTTGATGCCTGAAAATTTACACAGTTTTGCTTCATTGAAGTTTGTTTCTGTCTCTTGTTTCTTTGTTTTTGTCCTTCAGGAGCACTAAAGAGAGCGAGGCATCATTCTCTTCCCCTCTTCCTGAGCTTCTCACCTCAACCCTGAACCCTCTTGTTTCTGAATGTTTATTACCATGGACCAAAAGCTGTACATCTCAGGTTAGTGTCATATTGACAGTTTTTGGTCCATGATTATCATGATACAAGACCCGTGTCTTGTCCTCTTAGATGTTTTATTTCACGTACTCACTTAATGCTGATTTTTAAGTGGATCAAATGTCAGAAAACAAAATTGCACAACATTTTGTTAAAGCTGAATAATTGAAAAAATGCAATATTTAGCTTGCTGAAGTCATCTGACCTTAGCACCATATGAATGGTCCAACCGTTATGTGAGTAAGGAAATTAGTTGCTGTCAGGAGTTAAAAATGCTGTGTCAGCATGCTTAGATAAGCCACAAAGTCTGTGATTTTATGTTTTCAATCTCAGGTTTTTATACCGTAGTATTTGAAAGTAGCAGCCACCACAAAATGGACAATGAGTGTTTTACATCACCTTTAGATTTTTCAGAAGAACTTTTATGGTTTACAATTATCAGGTCTGGAGCCTAACAGCGCTATTGTTTGTTTTAGCACAGGGTGTGTGATTACTTTGCACTGAAAATCAGGAAGTACCTACTGATGCTGAAAAACTCAGTAGTTAAAACTTGTGTGTTGGTAGCATAGAATTCTTGACTAGTTTGAAAATGTTGTTAGTCTTATGCAAAGAACCATGGCCTAAAATAATGTAATGTGAAGTGCTGCATTATAATATAGTGAATTAAGTTGTGGATTTAAGTTGTTTTATATAGTGAGCAAGATAGATGTACATAGTTTATTTGCAGCTTATTGTAGGACAGCAGAATTATGCTGGCAGGACTTTTTTTTCTGTCAGTAAAAATCCTTGAAGTATTTTTCTGCAATATTAACGTTTATTCCTCTCAGATTTTCCCCCACTTTAGTCTCACAGGCTGTTTGGATGACTACTGAGACTACGTATAGATAATGACCATTTTTTTCCCCATAATTAAAGTATTTTTGCCTTATTAACACTACAATCATTGTTGCTTGCGCCTCACCTTATGAGTTTAGTCACAGATCAGGCTACAACAAATTGTACAGATGCAAGGAATTAATAGCTTATGAAGACTTTCTTTTCTCCTCTTTTTTAGTCAGTTCATACAACTCAGCAGAAAACTTTTTTTTTTATCAAGCAAAGCAAAAATTGATTTGTTGTTGACTATGCATTTTTAAAACTCACTGGCACATTCAGAAACAAGAGCACATTCATTGCTTTGGGAAGCTAGCAATCATTGGTCTGCCTCAAATGTGAAGTGAGTTTGCCTATATATTTTCCAGGGCTGTTAAATTAGTTTGGTTTGCCAACCAAAAGCCCCTATACTCTAAGCTGGAGTTGACTGTTTCTCATTATCATTGTGGTGTGTGTGTGTGTGTGTGTGTGTGTGTGTGTGTGTGTGTGTGTGTGTGTGTGTGTGTGTGTAGCAGCGGGGGTCGCCTCACAGCAATGACTCATCGGAAAACATAAAAATTATAGCACTCTGCACTCACCAGCAGCTATCAGCAGTATAGCTGCTGGTAAGTGTGAGCCCTTTATCTATGTGTTTATGTGTCTGTTGCCGTTGATGAAATATATGCACAGAAATGCATGATTTAGTGTTTTAAGCTAAGTGTCTAGAGTTAATTTTGGGACAATGGTGCTGCAAGTGAATTGTTTAAAAAAAAAAACTGTGAATATATGATTGAAGTGCAGGCATTGCACTGCATTAAGCACTTAATGCCTAGAGTATTATATATGATGCATGCGTTTTTGAGACTTCTACGTCATCAGCATATTAAATGTGATACAAATTCAAGCTCATATATTCAAATTACTAATTTATTTATTTATTACAAAATTGTCCAAAGGTCAAATAAATACTTGTTTCTGGGAATTATTTCATAGTTCAGGCTTTACTGGGTCAACTGTTTCAGTCCATTTTTTTTTCTACATAGTTCCCTATTTTCAGATTAATTGGGCAACTGACTTAAGCAGTTTCATGGACAGGTGAAACCTGTTTCCTCATTATTATGTGACACATTAAACAGATAAAAGATCAGGAGTTGACTCAAAATAATGAATTTAAATTTGATAGCTGTTCACTGGTGTTCTCAATATGAGTTTCAAAGACATGTTAATGAAAGTGAAGGATGCCATTATTAGACTGAAAATAAAATTATTTTATCAGAGCGAGAGAGAGAGAAACAGTTCGCTCTCTGCAAATCAAGTTAAAGGGAACCTGTTGTAGTCATTTTCAAGACCATATTTTTATTTTTTTATTTTTCCATCAAAGCTATAAGGACATCCTCGCATTGGCATTAAATAGATTCAAGAGTAGAGAGAAACTGTTGGAAACCAAATGTTTAAAGAAGTGTCAGTTTTTAGGTTTTGCTTACACTGGCCTCATTATTTAAAACTTGAGACCATGTTTAATAGTGTAACACCAGCAGTATATCCATGTGCTTATTCTTAGTCTCACCAGGATCCCTGGGCAAGATAAAGACAGTATGTTAGGCTGAACAGCTGTTTTTATGTCACTGTCCTAATGGCACAGCATGGTGACCTCCTTTTAGAGGCACTCAAAAAGCCAATGACATCATTGTTCCAACTGTGCTGCACTTGTCCCCTCATCCACCATTCACCCGCAAAATTGTCCATTTGGCTTCCCAGTGAGCCTTTCTGGGTAGTAATTTTTATCATCAATCATAATTATCTAAAGATAATAATATTCCTCTAGAGATGGCATTCGATTATAGGAAACTGATACTGAGTCTCACCATTGTGGTACTTCTCTAACTTACCACATTTTCTCTTAATTGAATGGTTTTGCAGAATTGTGGCAAGACCCAATGCTTGACATCGCTTTGTTTAGCACTGCTGTTGTGCTTTCATTGTATTTTAAAAAACAAGCAAAAAATTGATTATGACTCTACAAGAAAGAAATAGAGTTGTAAATGAATGAATTACAGAGGTAATGTCACGGCGGGGTGCGCCGGTGTGAAGAATGAGGTAGACCCAAGAGCAGACACGGTGGAGACAGAACTAGGTTTCCAAAATAAGGCAAGCCTTTATTGTGGCTGAAGGCATAACAAAAACACTAGGGAACACTGAAACTGGGAAAACTAAGAAGACAGAGAACATTGTGTCAACTAAAAAGGCTAACACACTCTGTGAAGGAACTATGGAAAAAACTATAAACACAGAGTAACTAAGCAGGCTATGAAACACAGTGTCACAATAAGGGAAACTACGAAAATACGAGGTGAGGATAACAGACGATCTGACACTGACACAAAGACACACTGGGCTTAAATACACTGAGGAAGTCATCAAGGAATTAGAGACAGAAGGGGAACACAGCTGGGAGGAATAAGACCTAATGAGACAGGGGGAACAAAGCTAGAAACACTGACATAAGACGGGAACATGAACCTTCAGAGTAAAACAGGAAACAAGACACCACTAAACAAACACGCAGACACGACACAGAGAGACAGACTAGACACTGAACTAAACCTGCAATAAACATGAGAACACAAAAACCTACAAACGAATCCCTAAACAAGAATAACCGAAACATAGAGTCATAATCATCATTATCATCATAATAAGAAAAGAATCCAAAATGCAAAAACACACCAAAAACATAACAACTCAAAATACTGGGTCAAACTGACCCAGAACCGTGACAGGTAATACGAAAATATTGTTTACCTTGTGATTTCTTGGATTAATGTTTATAATGGTGAGCAATTTTCCTATGCTGCCTCAGCAGTTTCTGACATATAGTTCATAGCATGAATGTGTGATAGATTTGCAGCATGTTGAGGGTGTTGCCTGTCCCTCGCCCTGACAGCTGCAATGTGCTCCAGCCCCACCAGAACTCTGAACTGGATAAACAGAAGGTAATGAATGGATGGATGGATCCAAAAAATAAAATAAAATGTAAAAAAGCAGAAGCTGTTCCTTTTTCCTTGCAACCTAACAAGTAACAAAGTAACATAGCGATGAAACATGGACAGCGGGGTCCTTGCTTTACACTAAAAATCTCCCTTCCCAGAGGTTAGCATGCACTATATACCTTCATATATGCACCACTGGCCTGCTGCATCGCTGGCTGTTGTCTTACTCTGACAGAGCCTGCAAGGGGTCTTGTCTGAAACAGCTATGGTCAAGGACAATGTGTCTGGCGCTAGCTTTGTTATGGGAGTTGTGGCGACTCTGTTATCATTCTGGGTCCATTAATTCCAATTCATTTTAGCAGCGTGATAACTAGCAGCGTCTGCTTGTCTGTGCTCTCACAAGTCAATGTACTGTGTTTCCAGATAAACATAAAGTCTGTTGTTGCCGGTTCTTCTTTTCCTGTGTGTTCTCGTGAGAGCGTGAGAGTACAGTAACTTTAGCCAAACCACCACGTTTCATGCTATGAGGGTAAATGTGATGAAATATAGCGATGAGAAGAGATACAAGAAATTTATTGTAGATGCAGAAAATTAAATTCTTTTTCAAGGATTTAAGAAGTCACAGCTTTATCTCAGTGTAGGAGAAGCTCCCAGGTTGTGTCACGCAGAGAACTATACCTAAAACTACCATTTTAAAAAGTATTTTATCAGTTTTACCCCTTAGCTGTAAAAGGCTGATGGCATAATGTCATCGCCCCTCCAGGTAGGCAGGCAGGGTCTCAAGGTCAGAGGTTTTTTTTTAATGAAACATAAACTGTATTTAATCATGAATCCACACATTACCTTGAAGTTGACCAGATATCCAACAACAACACATCAGTATGTGTGTGACTTTTATCAGATAATGAATTCCAGCATCCTGGAGGTTTGCAACTGTTTCCTCCTTTCAGATGAATGCACAAATCATAGTGGGTGTAATTTGTGAAATGAAAAGTCTAATAGAGTCTAGTTATGTACTCACTGGCCACTTTTTTTAGGCACACCTTGCTAGTAGTGGGTTGGAGGCTTTGGCCTTCAAAACTGCCTGAATTACTCATGGCACAGATGCCAGAAACATTCCTCAAAATTTAATATTTTGACTTAATAGCATTAGAAAGCTGCAGATTAGTCGACTTCACATCTAGCCTTTTAGATTGAGATCTTGTCACATTTGAGTACAGTGAACTTATCACGTTCAAGAATTGTGATCACTGTGGTCATAAAGGGATGGACACGATCAGCAAAATACTCAGTTGGGTTTGATGAAATGAGTTTCAATGATCCTTATCTTGCCCAAAGTTAAGAAATGTATCCCATGCCATTACAGCAGTCTGAACTACTGACACTTTGCCATTTGATGTGCTCTTCTGCTGCTGGCGCCCCTCTGCCTTATAGTTTAACATTGTTGTGCATTCAGAGATGCTGTTCTGCATACTTGTTTTATAACCAGTGATTCTTTGAGTTACTGTTGCTTTCCTGTCTGCTTGAAGCAGTCTGCCACTCTCCTCTAATCTTGGATATCATCAAGGCACTTTCTCCTGGAGAACTGCTGCCCACTGGGCATTTTTGTATCGGACCACTCTTTCTAAACTTTAGCTGTGGTTTTTTGTAAAAGCCCAGTAGATCAGCAGTTTTTTAACTACTCATAGCAGCCAGTCTCACACCAATAACAATGTGACATTCAGAGTCATTTAAATCGCCTTTCTTCTTCATTCTGAAATATTTTTATTGACAAACAACTGAATAGGTGTTTCTAATATAGTACCATTTACATGTAGTATAATTTATCACAAAAAATAGTCCGTTTAAATGTATAGTTTTGCTAAATTTGACTTTGGTGCACAGTTCTTAGCAATGGAAAACACTAAAACAGAGGTTATAACATTGTTATTATTGAACGGATGCTCATCCATTCCATAAAGTCACCAGGCAGGTTATAAATGTTATTCACAGATTTTAACAGTTTTCAACATTTTAAAATGAGAAAACAACTAATTTGAGATCTGATGTACTTTTATGGATCTACATTAACCTAGTTTTTATGAGCTTGTTTTTGTAGTTTTGTGGTTTTGATAGCTACTCATTTCCAAATTCCTTGTCTCAGAAGGAAACTGAACATTGATAATTAGCAAGAATATATTCATGCTTGTGAATGTTCTCTATAAAAAAAAGTGGATCAGAGACTAAAAATAGCAGTGTAGTGTCTGGCTACAAAGTAAGAATGAAAAAATATGATACATGTGCTTTCTGGGAAATTCTTCAGCTTCTTGTTTTGGTTTTACATTATCGCTAGGCTAAAATTGCTCTTTTTAAAAATAAATATTTAACGTTTCTTTGGCCTTGGACTGTATATTTTAACTGTGTTCACCATGAGAAACATTTTACTTTGAGAAACTCCCTTTCCAAAAGGAAAGAAAAGGAAAGAGATTTTACATCCCCAAGGACAGAGGAGGAGTTTGTGCTGTGGTGAGGAAACAACATTTGGTTTCTAACACTTGCAATTTGATGAATCACACTGTTAGCACTGGAAAGGCACAGAAAAGAAATATATATAAACTATTTTTAATACTATCATATTATATCCAACTATAATTTATACATTAGCCTTACTTTCAATTACTATGCATGGATATTTCTTTTCATAGTTAATTGTGCAGGTAAGGCAGAAGCATGAATTTCCATGCAAGAAGAGTCACGTTGCCTGCCATCACACCTCTTTGTCTGCAGAAGCGGGTAGGAATCTTATATGGATTTGTTTTTGTATTGTCTCCCTCTGTGTTAGCGAAGGGCTGCTTTTTGTTTCTGTTTAGTTTTCTAAATTTAAGCTGTTTTTCCAGATGGTGCTGGATTAGATCCGGTCTCCCGTGACCACTATGTAAAGGCTTACAATGTTTAAAACTTCTCAAAGATTTAATCTTCATAAATGTTCTGCTCACATATGGTGTTCACAGTGCTTCGGCTGTGCTATTGTTACTTATTTAAATTGAGATATTTGCAGTATTTTGTTAAAAAAAAAAATTGTACCATAAAACACATTCTTGCTATTAATTATACATCAATACTACAGTAGCCTTTTGAAGATGTTAAGATGTATTAAAAGCAGAAAGTAGCCCGCACTTTCATATCACAAATGGAATCTGGTGAAGTGTCACTTTTCTTTAATATGGAATATCAGTGCTGAACAAGGGAAAGCAGGGATGTTCATACTTTAATTTAGACATCAGTACAAAGTGTTTCAGTATCTTATAGGATGTATCTAATTAAAATGTAGACTGTTCACAAGCAAAACCACAATTACATATTTTTAAGTTTAATGTGAAATACCTGAGCCCAGTCCTCTAGCAGCCACTGTAATTTACAAAGTAGCAACTACAGCTTCCCAGCAGGCTTATCAGTGTTGGCTGATAACATTTGGCTAGTGTTCTAATTCATCTCCTTATTGTTGCACACTGACTCCACTGGTCTAAAAAATACTTTCCAAATGATCTAATTCCTTCTAGGTCTCGGGACAATAGTAACGTTTTGGATATGTAATCTTATAAGTGATGATCCAGTTGTAAACAGGTTTACCTACCAGAAAGGAGGTTTTATAATAATTTAAAACTCTTTATTTTCAAGTTTTATTTTAGTGGATAGCTAAGAGAACTATTCTCTGTCGTTTTCTTATATAGACGAGGCTGGAGGCCAACTTTTTACCACCACTCAGTGATATAGCTGCAGCTGTGGGAGTGCACTTCAAGGTTTAACCAGAGAAGGCTAATTGGTAAAATGGATCACTCTGTCCTGTCCTTGAGATAAGAAGGTCTAATAGAGAAGTTTATGTTCAATAAGACTATATTTAGTGCTGCATACCCAGTATCTGGACTTAGTCTTCCTGTTCCAGACTCTTTTTTTTCTTTTTTACTTTTCATCACAGACCTTTATGACACAGCACGATGTGTTCTCACCCTTGTGATACAACTCTTGAAATCAACAGCCTTGTTGCCATCATAGTTTGATAAATGCAGCTTATATTGGGAAATTGTGCCAGTGTATCCTCAACAGTAATTTGATGGATCAGTAGTGGCTCACCACCTATTCATATGTGTAAGTAAGTATACATATACGTGTATAAATAGTAAGGTTGCCTTAATTTGGACTTACTATGCAGATTTTTTAAGTGAATTGAAAATTTTACTATTCCAACTTGAAAAGAAAATAGCTGTCTCAGTGCACCACATGCACTGATCAGACAGACTACTGGTAGTTGAAGTTAGTAGCAATGACCATTATTACCGTTATTCATATTTATGTGGATTTAACTTTTATAAATCAGAACTATATATAGGGAAACCACGATAGCAGTTTTTGTGTGGCAGCATCAGTTTTTTAGCTTTAATTCATTCAGATAAATATAAGATCAAACTCAAAGTCTTCACACATGTAAATGCAATTCTGAGAATATTTTGATCGCTGCACTTTTCATAGCATCACTTTAACTGGCATCTCCTCTCCTTATAACTGTACCCATAACTTTTGCTATACTGAGTAAATTGATACTTTTAGTTAGGCAGTCGTGGCACTTTCTTATTTTCCATAGGAGAAAAATATTCTCCAGGTAATTTTCTCTGTTTTTGCACACTGTAACACATAAGTTGTACTTGATTGGCATGACAGACATGAAGGAAAACATAAATGTCTTCCAGATGAAAACATGTGGGCTTTTGCATCAAGGTTACCTGCTCATGGCTGCAACTCTGTGTTTACTGATAAAGGCATCAATGGCTCCTGCAGCAGGGTGTGTGGCCTTGTCTTTTATTGGAAACACTTTACTAATGATTAACGATACTGCCAAATCATGCAACATAATTAGTTTATAGTAGTCAAACTAAATGCACGAGTTATTATTTAATGAATTATTTTCTGTTTTAAATTAAAAAAAAAAACCCACTGTTTTTTGTGTCTCATGGATGAGATAAAATTACCCTTTTGAAGGGTATATTTACTCATTGTATATACTGCATCTTGTCGTCCAACCTAAACTGTTCATGAAAGCAACTTTCTGCTGAGTAATGCAAACATAAAGCACATCTGCAATGCTAATGGCCCACAAAGACTCCTTCGCCTCTGACAGACCCTACCCTGTTCTCGGTGAAATCTGATACCCAGATGATTTGATTTGGCCAATTTTCAGAAAGCCACATCCTTGAAGCAACTCAGCTAAAACCCCTGATACAGTCACCTCCAGCAGTGCAGTAAATGCACATCTTATTAAAATCAGTGAACTATATATATATATGAACTACAATGAACAAATCAATTTGTTCATTGTAAATGCGTATGATTTTGCACTTTATTATCAATTCTTCTCTTTTCCTTTTATTCAGGTCAAAACCATTTTAGAAGACAAACCTGTAGTGCTAATATGCAGCAATGACTACATTAAACAATGAGTGATGAAATAAACCATTCTTAAAAGATAGTTCTCTTATACTCACTTCGTGACCTGATTGATTACAAAGTGGTTTACACTAAGAGGTGATATCATAGGTGGAGGGCCCATTTGCTGAACCTCAGCCCTGTTGAAAAGCTCTGACCTATCTCTACAGAAAAGGTGTCAGGCTTTTCCTGTCCAGGTTTAAGCTACCAATTGACCTCACTCAGAGAAAAGAGACAGCCATTTGGTCTTTGCTCCTACACTTTCCATACCTGCCTCTGACAGCTTTAGACTGACTTGAACCAGCACCTTTGTAATTGCTCTTGGGCTCACACAGGGCATTATGTAGGAGAGCTGCTTGCCTTGGGTGTGTGCATGTCAATTCTAAGGGGGTTGGAGCCATGTGACTCTCTCTCTCCACCCTCTAGTAAATAAGCAGATTGATCTCTGGCTTCCTGACTCTTAGTGGTGAGAAAAGGAGGCAGGTGATTTGGTATCGAGCACCAGTGATACACACATGTGGATTCAGAAAAGAAATCTGCTGAGAGGGAGTTTTATCTAATTGCCTAATTTCAGCTTCACTGTGGCACAGAGCAAGATAAGGAGAGAGCGGGAGAAAGGCTGCTTGTGACAGCTGACACTTGCTGCGCTGTCTGATGAGAGTGTTTATATTTCTCACAAAAGCTCTCATTTGCGATGCTTTGTACTCAGCCATGTTTTGGCTACAGAACTAGCCCAAACTCAATACTATGCTTGGCTCCAAACAAGCGGGTAAGTTCCTGTTTAATGTGTCTTGTGTTCTTTGTGTTTCTCTGCAGGCTTGAGTCTTTATATTCTGTTTTCTGCCTTGTAGGACATTTCTGTTGTGTCTTTTTTTCTTACCTATTATGTTGTTCAAATAGGCAAATGAGCTACCTGTTTACTATACGAAGGTGAAACTGATTGGGTTGTATGGTACTTATAACACAATCCTTTACAGTATGTCCAATCTGAAAACATAACTTATGTATCTTTAAAAGTCACTAACGTCTCTCACTGCTTGCCTGAAATGGTTAATTTAATGTTTCTGCTTCAGGTAATTAAAGTTTATAGTGAAGATAATACCAGCAAAGCTGTAGAAGTTCCTTCTGATGTAACTGCCCAGGATGTATGTCAGCTGTTTGTCTTGAAGAATCACTGCATTGATGACCACGCCTGGACACTTTTTGAACACCTCTCCCATCTAGGAATAGGTAAGATGATGCTGTAACAGCTACCCAGTTATTTACATCATACTAAATTTAAAAACAATGATGGCAAAAAATTATTTGCAGCATTTTCAGTCAAGTTTACCCATAAGTCTTGCAATAATCCTATCAAAATGATTCTTTTTCTTTTTAACACTCCGTTTCAAGGTTTTGAAAAAATCAGTTGTGCTTTTCAATGCAGTTAAAACTCACAAATATCAGCTTGATCTCAGCATTTTAGTTCTAACAATGAAGGATGAAAAAATACACCAATAAGCCGTACCTCTAAAACCACTAACATTGGAACCTGTTGATATGTTTTGTTGTAAGTGGACCGTTTTATAAAGGCTAAATTGCCATGTCTAGGTAACTAGAGCCGGACATATCCAAAGCAGGAGGTCTTTGTTTTTACACTTTGCAGTGTGCAATAACTACCCAGACTGGTCTAAGGAAGGACAACTGGGAAACTGGTGACTGGGGAATGAGGGCCAAGGTTAAATGATGCTTATGGGGTCAAAAAGAAGAGCTACAACAAACAAACAACAACAAATTCCTGAACGTCTCAACACTAGTTATGATAAGCTGTCAGAAAGAAGGACACAGAATAAATAATGTTATGTAACTATGACTGTAACTGTAATTATTTATTTAACACGGTACTTTATTATTTACTGTTAGATACTGTATTTGTATACAATATACAATTATCCATCTATGTGTGCGTGTACATGTGAATTTGCCAGGGATACACCTAATTTGCTGTAGATGAGAACACATATTTAGCCATTTTTAGACAAACTAGTTTCATCATTTGTTTCATCATTTGGTAATCTGTTCTGTAGATGTTGTCAGTGAGTGTGGGTTTTGTTTATTAAGCATTTTTTTAACCTGAATTAAATCAAGATTATTGTCAGTAACAAGTATATTCATCTGATAACATTCTTGCACTGATATTTATTCAACTTACACTGCTGGCTGAATGCAATATGTCTTCCAGCTATTCAACAATCAGTTAAAATTCTAGGAAATAATTAAGTTCTAGGAAATAACTGTTTATGTTGTACCTCTTGTACCTCTTGCCATGCCCATAGCTGGAGGTTACACATTAATGTAAGGTTAATAATCAAACTCTTTTCCTCAATGCAACTTTTGCTGGGGAATCATTTTCAGAGATTACTCTATTTTTCAAGAACATTTAATTCCATGTCCTCAACCTTGCTTTGACCTGATTCTAGATAGTATATTTTAATAAGAGGGAAAACAAAGAACAGGAAAAACAGCAACAGCAAAACAGGTTAACATGTCATTTCTTTGTTCTTGCTCTCACTAGAAAGAGCTCTGGAAGACCATGAGTACGTTATGGAAGTACTTTCAAGCTGGGCGATGGACACAGACAGCCGGTTGTATTTTAGGAAGAATTATGCTAAATATGAATTCTTTAGGAAACCACTGGTGAGTTAGTAATTATACAATTCTATGTATACATATCTATAGTCATACACAGCAAGTCTCTTTGTATTAGCCCAAAATTATGTGGGTGGAAGAAGTTAATAACTGATGTCTCTTTCATATTCATAGGACTTTTTCCCAGATCACATGGTTTCCATATCGAGTGAAACCAATGGGATGGTGGATCACTGTGACCTTATACAGGTATCAGGTTCTTAGGTTCTTTATGTTTGCACTGCACTCTCTCTGCCCTGTAGTGGAGATTGTTACTGTGATTATTTAATGCACACACCCAACTAAGAACAAATATTCCTCTACCCAACGCAGACCTTTCTGAATTCCAGCACTTGTCCTGAGATCCATGGATACCTTCACGCCAAAGAGCAAAGCAGGAAGTCTTGGAAGAAGTCTTATTTTGTTTTGCGGCGGTCAGGGCTTTATTTCTCCAATAAGGGGACTTCCAAGGTTTGTAGAACAAAATAACTTGTCCACAGAATGTATTATGAATTATGGGAAAATCACAGGTTGTTTAAGAAAACATATTATTAAGTGGGCTATTCCATACAACCAATCTTATTGCATTACACCAGTTCATTTTCTAAAAATCCACATCGGTACATTGGACGAGGGGTACTTTACAGAAGAAAGATATAGGATGAAAAATGCATTGTTCCAAATGGAAAACTATACTGTTGTTTAAATTTCTAGGGATTGATACACGACCTCTGTTTGTGCATTTTGGGCCACCTCTTCATGTTCTGGCTACATCTCACTCATGTTGTGAGAGGAGAGTGAAACAGGTTGAGCTGGATTTTCATTAGGTCAGCTGGCACAGCAGCCATGCAGAAACTGTACTCACAATGCTGCTGACAATTGAAGCTTATACCTAGCCACCAGGCACGCCAACACATCCACTTTTCAACTCCTTTCATTTTCTACAACAGTAGACCTTTTGTTGTTAAGTGCAGGTTGACCTTGGCAAGGCGCCCACTTTTAGTCTATCGTGTTTACTCTTCTTCTTTGGTTTTGGTCAGATGTTTGCTAGTCAGTTACCACAGACACTAATGACTGTGGTGTAACATTAAAAAAAGACATAGGAATAGTGAGTCACATGAAAGCAGGACAATGAAAGTCTGTGAGGGTTTTTTTTTTTTTGTAAAGTTATCCTTGAAACAAAATAGCTATTGATACCATCTCAATACAGCCGCTATCAACATATCTAAATTTATCCTTATCTTTTGGTTACATTAAGAGAGTAACCACACCCAGAATGGTTGATAATGTGTTATTATTAGATGAAAATGTACTGTTTACCCATCATATACAATCATCCAAAGCATGCTTTGACATAAATGTAGATATCATTTATCGTTTACTCTTGTAAAACAAATATGTTATGGTCTTTTAATTACATTGCAATCCAAAGATAACATGAATTGCTTAAATCCTGTCTTTGGAAAATAGCTCATTTTGAAATCAACCCTAGCAACACGACAAAAATAAAACTGGTAGGCAACAAAGTACCTGTGCAAATTTGTCTAATGTTAAAAACTTAATGATAAGACACACAGTCAGCTGTTCATCACATCAGTAAAGGTTTCTGCATTTGAAAAATCTGCTGTTGAGTTTGTGTGTTTCAGTGTTATTTGGCTTATTTTCTGTTACATTTTAAAATAGTTAGCTTGTGTGTCTTTGATTGTTTTGCCTCTCTTGTTTTCCCTCTCCTGTCCCTTTTCGCTCAACGCTTTTTGTTTTGTCGCACAGTCCGTCTGTCCATGTCATGCCTCTAATTTCTGTCCTTGGTCAGTTTGCATTTAAATAACTAATAATTTTGTTTACATATAGCCCCAGTTCACCACAACAATATTGCAGAGAAGCTTTATATTGTAAATTAAAGACCCTACAATGTTGTAGGAGAACTCCCCAAAATCCACTATGACCAAGCACTTGGCAAAAGTGAAGAGGAAGAACTCTGTTTTACTGTTTAACTGGAAAAAAATCTATAACTAAGCAGGCTCAGGGATGGGTAACCATGTAACTCAACTGCAAAGAAGATCATAGATACAACATACAATTCAAACTACTGGAGAACAATGTAATAAGTTAATATCTGTTTGGTAAATGAGAAGAAGTGTTCCCAGCATGTGGATTCTATGACAGCATAGTAATAGGTCATTCAGGGTCACCTGATTCAGGAGTGGAGTCTGATAACTAAAGGCCCTACCTCCCAAAGAACGTTTACTCTTGGAAACTCTAGGAATAAAAAACAAAAATGACCCCACGGGTTGTTTTTCTTCAAAATCTTTAAAATGCAAAGTTGTAATGTATTCATATTCCAGGTATTCCTCATAAAATATGTTTGTAACATGAGGCCATTTGCATTTTTATTTATTTTTTCATTAATAAAAAAAAAATGCAGTTTTTGTATCACTACCCCACTCTTCCACAAGTTGGGTCAAACATGACCCCAAGCAGTTCCTATGGAATCTTTTATGAAACTTTCATTCTTAGCAACTCCAACCGTCCCACTTACACTTCTGATGGATCAAGAATTAATTTTTACACAGTAACATACATGATTTATAGTCAGGGCTGCACATAAGTGGTCCGCAGGTGCGCATTCGCTGTCAAAATAAAATCAGAGAATATGTGCCTCTTTTGTGGTGGAGATAGTAATTGCTTACGAGCTTGCTTCTTCGACATCTTTAAGAGTTCTGAACAAATGTCTGTCCTCCTCCAGAACATCTAATGTACGCAAACGAGTGTTCCAACTTCTTATCTGGTACGCGTCTTTTATTTTGACAGCAAATGCGCACCTGAGGACCATTTATGTGCAGCCCTGTTTATAGTTTCCTGTGCATTTAAAACATTGTCCTTTCTGATGTTTTTTTAAAAAAAATATTTAAAGTAACATGGCTGCTATGAGGCCAGCTAGGATCCCTGTGGACCTTGCCCTACAAATGATCCAGGACAGATGGGATGAAGAGCCCATCGGTGGCATTGACTCAGAATCTGACATCTCAGATATAGAGGACCCAGACTATTGTCCCCCCCTCTGAACAAGGCCAGTCAGATACAGAGGAGTCCTCTGATGAGTCCTCTGAAGAGGAAATGGATATTGAGTCTAACAGAATGAGCCCCTCTTACTGCTCTAGCCACAATATTCTGAATTAGTAGGCCAGGGCTTGCATCTGGGTCTAATACTCTCTCCCCAATAGATGCGTGGAAGATGTTCATGTCTGATAATATAATAGAAGAGGTGCTGACATGCACAAACACGGAGGCACGAAGAGTAGCAACCGACAGGGGAAAAGAGTGGAAAAATGTAATCAAACAAAAGCTCCTGGCCTTCATTTGATTGACCATTCTTGCAGGAAGTGAGAAGAACTGGGATGTACCAGTCGGTGTGGTTTTGGGAGTCCTCTGCATAACCCATTGTACAAGGCCACTATGTCAATTCAAAGATTTAAAGATATTCGCCGTTTCTTGCACTTTGATGACAAGAGGACCAGAGCCTACTGACTGAAAACAAATCACAACCGAGTTTATAGCAAAATACATTGTTTCTATTTGGGGTCATTTTTGACCCCACTCGTGGAAGAGTGTAGGTATTGGTAGGTTGTGTATCCAAGGGTTAAGTAAGAGTGGACCATGAAGCATCCAGAGGCTAGACTGGCCTTCTTGCAATCCAGACTTGCCACCCACTAAAAGCATTTGGTGCATTATGATACTGAAAATATGGCACAGATGCAAGCTTTTGAGTAGCTGACTTTCTGTATTAAGACAGAGTGGAAAAAACATTTTGCTTTTCAAATATGATCTCAGTTTCCAAACTCGTGTTGCTGACATGGAATTTAAAATGTGAATATTTTTAAATATATACAAGTTTTTCCTTTTTAAGACTTTTAATTATTTTGTAATTTTCATCTATTTTAGTATTTCATTTTTTTTGCATTTGTGATCACATCAAAAAACCACAGAAATGTTCAAATACGGACACACTCAGCACTCACCTGAGATGTTTCTGTGTTCCAGGTATAGACATGAAGGCTTAAGACTGTTTCATGTGCTGTTTTATACTTCACACCTCCAGTCCATACCTGTTCTGTACCTTTGTCTTATTATGACCTCTCTGTGTTTAACAGGAACCAAGACATCTCCAGTTCTTTGCTGACTTCAGTGACAGTGATGTCTACACTGTTTTGGCAGCCAAAAAACTACACGGGGCACCTACAGAATTTGGCTTCTGTGTGAAGGTAAGAGCAGTACTGTAACTGATGTTGTTACTATAAAACAGAGACATGCCAAAACTGTATAGAAGGAGCAGATGCACGCTGATTCACAGGGCTGTTTTGTTTTCTTCCAACTTCTCACCTCAGTCCACAAAATGCAGTTCTGCCCGGGACTTGAAGCTGCTTTGTGCAGATGACGAGCAGACCAGGACCTGCTGGATTACAGCCATGCGCTTGTTAAAGGTTGGCTTGCTGATAAATAACGCTGGGTGATATCTAAGAGTAGGAATGCTGAGTCAGTGTTTGAATCAGATTTAGCTTTGGGAGGAGGTCAAGGGAAGCTTTTGAGTGATGCTGGAAAATCACTCCCACTCTTGATAGAAGCAGCATGTGTTCATTGTCTGGATATAATCTGGATACAATTTAGAGCATTACTCACCCCTGCTAGTCCACAAATTATATACACAGTGCATTACAACATATTTACTTGTACCTGCCATTTGTAATCACTACACCATTGGTCTGGAAGGATTATGGGTTAACACACAACAAATGTTTGGATTAAATTGCACAATTTTAATCACTTCTTTTTTCCTGTGTTTTAGTTTGGGATGCAACTTTACCAAAATTTCATTCAGCCACACCAGAAGCAAAAAGCCTCACCAATGGTTAGTTAATGTTTTTCTTGTTTTAGTAATTATACTAGCTTTATATTTTATTATTTTGTCTCATATGTGGCAAGTTACCTGTTTTTAAAGCTACTTTAAACACAATTTTGGTTAGCAACAACTTGAATGATTGTGTGAACCAGCAGGTTAGTGTGGCAATCCTACATGGACCTTTTCACTGCAGACGTTTTGACTTGTCACAGTAAGCAAACAGCGGGTGAAATAATAATGGTTCACTTCAATTTTGTGTCCCAGTAACCCTTGACAGTAAAACGCCATCCACAAAAGCAAGACTTAAGTAGAATCTAGCCATCACCTATACGCCTTTTGCTTTTCTTAGTGTGACTCCTGTGAAGTATTTCTATAACTGACAAACTTTCAGTTTTCTTCAATAATAAGGAACCTTTTAAAAAGCTTTATTTGCCCAAGTTAAGCTCATGCTTTTGTTGCTCTAGCCCACAATCCTGATAGTGCAGAATCTACAGCCTACAAAATTCAAACAGTTGGCATGGTATTATATTTAGCAGGTAAAAAAGTTATCAGATTCTACGAAAGCTAAAAAATAAAGTGCACTGGACATACATTCATTTGGTGAAATATAAAACTCCAAAATGATGCCCCTCTGTCTGGTGTAGCTTGAAAGACACAAAAGTAACATGAGCCAGCAAATAGTGGTGTAGCAATATAATTGTATGGAGCAAATGAGGAATCTGCGGTGTCCCAGAATAGCCTTAGACTGCGCTGAGAGTATTTTTGCAACAGCAGACACAGTCTATTTATGGGTAATGAACATGTTCATGAACTACTCGCTTTCTAAAAATACATAGTGATCAGCTGTCCACAGATTTAACAACTTGTCACCTCTTCTCTAGTGTTGGAGTGTCATGTGTTGCCAATAACTTTACTGAGAGGATTTGCTAGAAAGACAGGAGAATAAATGAACATCTTAAATGCAATGTCAGGCTATTGAATCTTAGGTGCTTTAAAAGATATATTTAGACAAACTAGAATACTAGATTACTGCTTCATTGCACTGAGTTAAAAACAAAGCCCTGCTCTTATGCTGATTAGCACATTTATAAGTAATAGGATTTATCTTTATATCATTTCAAGTGCAGCACTGTTAATAGGAGGGGCTTTAAAAGTAATAATTTTGTTTTAGCTACTTGCTTAAATTGCAAACTTACTGGCCCGCATGGGAATGAATCTAGTATTTCTTTGTAATCCTGATAAGAAGAATTTTCTTAGTTGTGCTTTGCAGTTTTATGTAGAGACACTCACAATATTGCACTTAAATGGTCTAATCTTGTGCCCAAGTGTAATTCCTTTCAAAACCTCTCTAATCCCTTTTCAGTTGAGTTGTGTGTGTGTGTGTGTGTGTGTGTGTGTGTGTGTGTGTGTGTGTGTGTGTGTGTGTGTGTGTCTGGAATCATCTAGAAAATATGAAGATGGAGTCATGTTACTCAAACACTAGATGGCAATGCAATACCACAAGGCAGCAGAAGTAAATCTACTCCCTTTTCATAGTACAAAATAGAGAGTGAACCAAGATAATAGCAAGAATTTGGGGTATTTTGAATTACACATCATGTGACTTGAATTTAGTTTTACATGACCACATATACAGGTGTGTGAAAAGTCCTGAAAAAATGTATTAATATTTTTAAAATACACATCAGTGCAAACTGTGCCATTTCAGAGAAGCATATCAGAGAACTCTCTGGTGGCTATGGACTTTTCTGGCCAAAAGAGTCGGGTGATCGAGAACCCATCCGAGGTGCTCTCAGTAGCTGTAGAGGAAGGCTTGTCGTGGAGGGTAAGTCTTAATGTCTCTTAATCTGGTTCTAACAGAAAGAAAGCATAAAATTTAGGCTAATAACTAATAATGCTTCACTTTAGTTTAAACATCTTTCTGTTGTTTTATTCATTGAATATATTCAAATAATATGTTAAATTTAATAATATTTCCCAAAAGTAAATGCGACTGTCAAGCGTGAGAAAATCTTAATGCCTCAAGCAACTTGCAAATGAGCTAGAATGTTATGCAAAATGAAACATCATAAATTAACTATGTATTAACATTATTTTCACTCATATATTAGTTGTAATTCTCTTCGCCCACAGAGGAAAAGCTGCCACCGCTTGAGTGGTCATGGGAGCCCTTCCACAGCCCAGAGCTCTGTGCTAAACATAGGTGTGTGAAACATCAATTTCACTTTTTTAATGTACAACTGAAAGATATTTTCTGACGTAGCATCTCTGCTTCAGCTATCCACGTGGCTCAGCCGTGGTTTCATGGCAAACTGTCTCGTGAAGAGTCTCACCGTCTAATTGCTCAACAGGGTCTTATTGATGGGTAAACAGTTATACACTTCTATTTGTGCTTTGGCTCATTTAAGACATTAAACTTGATTTGCAGATATATATATATATATAATTTTTTCATCAACATGAGCATGTTTGCACTAAAGCAAAGCAACACAATATTCTCTAATGTGATGTAATTTACCATATGAGGCAGTTCACTCTGTTTAATGTTGGTAAGTCTTTATAATGACTGCTATACTTTTTATTCTCTTTGTTTCAGAGTGTTTCTTCTGAGGGACAGCCAGAGCAACCCTAAGACATTTGTACTTTCGCTGTGCTATATGCAAAAAATTAAACATTTTCAAATATTACCAGTGAGTATAATTAACCATTTGAATTAAAATTACTGTGCAAAAGATTTAGGTTCAAAAATAAAGTGGTTCTTGATTACAAAAAAAGAACCCCTAAAATATTTTTCCCTTTATTCATTCATGACCTTCATACAACAGAAAGGAGATAACTGTATTGAATATATTTGCATTCGAAACGCAGTGTACCTTGGTAAACTTACAGCCGTTTCAAAGTACTCAGCACGTGGGTTATTTTAAGCATCCTCAAAAACTTGCCACAGTTCTTCTGATGAGTCAGGCTGTCTCGGTGTTTTCCTGGACATTAACAACTAGCATCCTCTGTAGATGCACAGTAGAATAAATTTTGGACTAATCAGATAAGATACCTGATTATACCTGGAACAACTGAATTACCTATAACTTTTGCATAGTACATAGTATTTTTGCATGTTTTTCATTAATCTCTGAAAAATTACCTGAAATATTTAAACTCATTTGCACCAAGTCACCTGTTTTTTGTGTGTCATTCATTTCTACATGGATTTGTATATGTCTGTGTGTATGCTTCATTGTAGGTGGACGATGAAGGAGAGTTGTTTTACAGTCTTGATGATGGTCAAACACGGTTCACTGACTTGATCCAGTTGGTGGATTTTTACCAGCTAAACCGTGGGGTGCTTCCATGCAAACTCAGACATCACTGTGCTCGGATAACCCTGTGAACAAGAGACCCAAAAGACAGCTGAGGTCCCACATGCACCTTAATTCCTGGTTCTTCTGGAGAAACACAATGGTGTTTTTGTGCCTTGGAAAAAAAAAAAGAAGATAAATAGTTGTTTTCATAATGTGGTACATGACTCAACCTTATTTTTTCTTATTCAGAAAAAGGTGAATTTCACAATAAAATAAATAACTACTGGTGCTGAAGATCATGTGGATTACATTTTGGCCCGTTAATGTATTGGTGTAAGTATGTGGTGGTAGTAGTTGAGATACAGCAGCAGGAATTTGAGTGTTCATTGAAAATAATCCAGCAGAACGTGTGCTGCAGTATGTATAGAGCAAAAGTGCTGTAAATATGTGACATTTACGGTCTGTTAAAAGTAAATGATGACCGAATCCCTACAAGGACATGCTTGTGGAAACCTGTAGTATGGCTCTACACTGTCAAGTCTGGGAACAACTAAGCTATTGTTATACTAAGCTATTTTTTTTGCTAGGTATTCGTATTTTTTAAGAAAGTTACTCATTTTTTTTGTTTGTTTCTTTTTTTAATTTGAAGTGATAAAATTACCTCTGAGCAAGTTTCACTGCGCATGCCTTACAAGGGATTGGCAAAGAGCTGTAATGCCCCGGTGAAGAGGTTCCAACCTCACTGACTTTGCATTGTGCACTGCATAAACTATATAGATACAGTTATGATTAAGTGAACCGTTTGTATCCATGGAATCAGTGAAAAAGTTCCCCTGAAGTAAGAGCAATGAAATAAATGCTAAAGATTTTTTTTCTTTACATGTAATCAGAAATGACTGATATTTGAATTCACTGTAAATTGAAATTTAGGTTTTGTAATTTCCCGAGATTCAGGCAGACAATTTGCAATACCTGGGCTGATTGTATTTTTTGACGTTATAGCCACATCTGTGGATATACGGTGTCAGATACTTTTTTTTTTTTTAAAATGATGTTAGTCCTTCTAACATTGACATTCAGCTTCATACAATCTTTTTTTTTGTAACAGCAACAATGTAAGAACAAGGTATTTTAAATCACAGTAGCTGGACAACAGTGCATTGAAATGCAGTTTTGTAAATAAACTCATATAAACCTGTCTGTTGTAAGGTGTGATTTTTGTATGATTGTTTTGGTTGTTTTAACAACAGGCTGCAAGGCAAACACATGGCTTGTTAAACCACCATAAAGTAGGTCGAATTGATGCTTAGAAATTCACTTAATGTTTATACATGGTCTGTACATAATTTTTATTGCTGGCTATGCATATACCTGTAAAGATAAGATCTGGTATTGTGTGCAGGAACCACTATGCTAACAAACTCACCCTTTCTTTAAATAGCAGTAACATATGACAGTACACTGGAACAATATATTATTGTCTTTTTGAGTAATATAGGGCATACAGGGTTATCATATAAATGCAGTTAAACTCGAGCAAAGTATAAGATTCCTCCTGAGCCGACTCATCAGCACACAGAGGGGTGCTGCTCTGGTCAGAAAGATTTTTATTGTGCCAACGTACATCGTGATTTTCTAATGGAATCCAGCTCAGAGTTAAATTTAGCCACACTATATAGTCTGCATATGGCTCTCATCAGGCTAATACTGTCTGGAATTAATTATTGAACTTTTGGGGCAATATATATATATATATGTAATTTATTTTCTCTCAACAGCACTGGCTGATTTTTACAACCACTAGATGGTACTAGAAGCATTTTACTTTTGCTTGTGGAAGTTTATGTTTGAAATAATAGGTCAGGTGCAATCCTAGTTACATAATACATATACAGTTTGTGATAAAGATGCTATTTGGGGTTGTGTAAAATTAAAGTTGCTTAAGACATAGAAGTAAGACACTTTAATTATTGAATATCATTAACTGTTATTGCATTAATCTGCTAATAATGCTAAAATGCATGAAGAAATATCGAAATGTTGATATATATTGCAATAATTCAATGAATTTTACACTGACTGGATGCCACTGACTGCCTTTATACACCAGTGGTTAGTGAATTAATATCAGTTTCAAGTAATGTATTTGAGGTAATTATGTCACCTACAATTGACTTTAAAGGATTAATAGAATTAGAAAAATTTAGCAAAGGATAAGGGATCGCGACGGCTGTGCAGTAAATGAAACAGAACAAAATTGTCTCGAAGCATCTGTGTTAAACAATCTTCTCTGTTGTGATACAAACACATTGCCCCCATACCTCCCCTGTTCTACTTCAGTAGCACATTTTGAAACAGTGCGCACATCCAAGGGAGATGAGTGCACACAGAGAAGTCTTAAATGCACCCCTGCTTCCGAGGTCTTGTGCTAAATGTTGTTTTGGATGTATTCCTGCCATTGATCGGAGTCTGGCTGGAGGGGGAGAGATGGCAGCTGGGAGAGACTGCGCTTCCTTTAATGAATTCATCCTCCTCTATCCTGTCCAAACGGCCTGTGGATACACCATCTCTCCCAGTAAAGAAAACCTCTCCGCCATGTCTTGGCCCTCATGGACAACCACCAGTGTTCCTAACACTTCATGCTACTGCACTGAATTTACTCCTGCGTGCACTTTTACTCTTATGACTTCAGGTTTTATACTTGAGAACTGTCAACTTTGCTCTGTTCTTAAATGACCCTCATGTTGCATTCCCCAAGTCTGGATTCAATTATCTGATTTCAGCCAGTTACTGATTATCTCCAATGAAATGAAGACCTTGCTGTTTGCTTTGCTCTTGATCAACAAAAGGGCATTATCTCAGCTTGGTTTTGAGTCCAGGCAGAGTCTATAACGAAATGAAAATAGTTTTGTTTCAGGGATGCGTAACAGTTAGAGGCTTTAACTGTTCTTTTGCAAAAGGAATTCCCATCATAAATATCTAAAGCTAGAAGCAAATCCAGAAGCACTATGGTGGCTACAGTGGACTTAAGCAGCAATAATTATGGGTCAGTTTGAAAGAAAAACTATGAAATATATGGCATTATTACAGATACAGGGTAAAATACATATTAAAATATACTGGACTCCTTGTTTTACTTATATTGAATAATTTACAATATTTAGACTGAGTGTTATTTGGTCTCTAGTGTTTTTGCTCTTTCTGTATGTTAATGTTGTGAAGAGGAAAATTATTCTTAGTAAAAAGAAATAAAATAATTGTCATTTTAAATAAAATCAGAAGCTGTTGGGGTCATGCAAAAAGATAGGACTGGTAACTATAAAGCTATATATGTTTATTAGAGAGTATGTAGACTGGCTCATGTAGATGGTTTTAAATAGTAACCAGCTTTAGATTAAATTCTATTAACTTATTATTAGTTGTTAAGATGGTATTTGTTCTTTGTATGTCTGAAAGGTCATTCAGTATTTTGTTTATTTGTTGTTTAGAATTATGATTTCACAAAACAAACATTGGACTCAAACATTGGATAATTAATTAAAAAACAAACAAGTAATTAAGACTAATAAGACTTATAAGTTATAATTTGTGGGTTGTTAAATGTATACATTAACACAGCAACAACAATGGGAATAAATTTGTTGTTAATCAGTAGCTGCTATACCAGTTTGCATCTTCTATACTTACAGACTGTGAGATTTGACAGCGTGGTTTGTGCCGTGGTGTGAGGCGCAATTTCTTGGTGTATTGAGCATCTTTGGTAATGTATTATGTCTCAGATAATTGCTCAGACAGTGCTTGCTCTATAAGTAGCCTTTCTAACCTCTGATATATTTTTCTGGGGGTCTTGGAACTGGCAAACGGTAAGTGCCAAGCTTTGTTAATTACAAGGATAACAAATGCACTTGTCAAATAATGGATGTGGTTGGCAATTTCAAGTTTTAATAATCAATTACTGGCAGTAATTCTCTGTGGAGTCACAGGATAGTCATTAAATCTCAAAAGGCGGGACACATACTATGTAGCTTTTTCCTAAGCCCTATTTTTAAATACATAAGGGAACACAGTGTGCTTTAATGTGTTGAATTTTGTTGCCTTATTACAATGTAAAGTAGCCCAGTTATACATAGACAGTGTATTGCTCTGTTCCTGAAAAATAACAGTGTGGTAAATTGTCATATTAATGCTTCTTCATAACGGAACAGAGATGTTGCGGCACAGTAAAGTTACCACTTTTATTATGTCAAAGCCAGAAGTTTCATTTAGCACCAAGTCCTATATGAACTCACATTCAGCAGACAAATCTGTTTTTTCTTTCTTTTTAGGCCTGAAACGCCTCTGAATGTGGCCTTTTTGATCTTTAAAAACAAGAACATAGTGGTATTGAATCATTTTTTGTTGTTGTTGTTTTCCTATACAGCAGGGTTCCTGTTATTGTATATGCAGTCCACCTTCAAAGCTGAAACATTGCAGAGGTTCTTCTTGACCTTGAGAAATTAACATGGGAGGACTGGCTTTGCTCTGAGGGAGTCCTATAGAGGCCACATCCCCTCCTAATCCCCAGTTGAAAGGCATACCTCTACTGCTCAGAGAAAACAGAAACAATGCAGCAAGTCAAGTATTTACATATTTCTTATCCAAGTACACCAAATGTGAAACATTTACTTAGATGAAAATGTTTCGTGTCTCTACACATCCCATCATATATCACGACATGAAACATTTCATTCTGGCTGTTTTATCCAGATCTCATTAATCTACATTAATCTCTTTGTGATTAACGTACACCGGGACAGAACAAAGTGCTCGTGAACAGGGAGTGAGGTGGAGAGCAGGAGGGAGAGCGGGACTGAGTTTGGCCCTGCACAGTTGAACAAACAGAGAATCTGAAGTGCAGCGCCCTGTGTGGCTTCCCACCAACTGAACAACATTAAGGCAGTCCTCCATGTAAAACCTGCTCACTTTTCCCACAAACTCTTGAGTTTGGCAAACGGGCAGCTGCTCAGCAGGGAGGAGCTCTCACTGGAAGGCAGACAGCAAGCTTTGGACAGCAGGGAGACATAAACCACAGCTTCTGGTGGTGATGGGCTGATGTTTTAGGTGATCAAAAGGATGGGTAAGAAAAGGAAAACGACAGGGGTAAAACCAGGAGGGGGTCTTGGAGAGGAAAACATTTTGGACTAAAGCTAGAAAGACATGAAAAGCAAAGTACAGCTGATATGCTTGACCGTGCAGCACTTGGGGTGAATATTTTTGTACACTGAAAAAGTACACCGAAACTCTCAGGTTCCCTTTCTTATTTTAGCTATCATTCCATTCATTCCATTCATGTGATATATATCACGGGACAATTTACTCCAAGGGCACAAATTAGGATGATATATTGTACTAGTATTTTTTTCTGCAAAATAGGCCAAAATGTTCACTGTGCTACACACAGATACACATTTACACGTTCACCAGCGCATTTGCACACGTACTGGATCAATTTAAATTCCTTCCTACATTTTCTCATTTACATGGTGTGTGAGAGACTCCTGAACAGAGTAGGAAGCCTTGTGGAAGAATTAGGAAATCGTCCATTTCTGAGAACACAGCGGAATAGAGGCAGAGCAGCATATGTTGGGATTTGAATGGTCAATCGATGAATAACCCAGAGCGGTGTTTTTCTGTGCAGACTGGCAGCCGTTGTGGAGCGGTATCCGTGTGTATGTGTGTGAGTGTGTGAGTGTGTAAGAGAGAGGGAGAGATGGGGGCATGGAGGAGTGGGGATTCATCCTTCCCCAAAGTATTACGCAGTGGTCAAAAATATTTGCAATGCCAGGAGGTATTTTGAAAAATTCAATACCGTGCTGACCTTTTGCTGGGCATTTGTGAGCAGATTCACTCTCTGTTTAATCTGGCTCAGAGTCAGGGAAGATTGGTGTTACTATATCATGTTGTTGATTTTAAATTATGGTAATCTATTCTGCTCATACTTTTTCTTTGATGTCTTTATTAAAATCTTTTGTTTTACAGTCAGGGTTGTGTACCACAAATTTGACAAAACAAGAACCTAAAAATTAAACTGACACTAAATGGACAACAGTGCATGTGCTATAAAACAGAGAGCTGCCTATAGGATTTATAAATGGGTTTTATGTAATGCATCAGTATTTATTCCCCTTTTACAAATATAAACTCCATGATAAAAAATTATTCAATTCTTTATATTTTTCATACATCTAATATATATATATATATACATTCATACTCATGTGTAGAAATACTGCTAGTTATTTAATTT